TCGCCTACCACTGTGCCATATTAGAAGAAGATTGGTGATATGCTTATGTTTCTTCCAGTCTGCTGTTAAACTACAGGATCTATGAGTTGCTGCTGTGAGGCGACACATGGTGGCAGACGACTGACAGGCCTGACATGGGTGCGAGTCAGAACTGTGCTTCTGCTTTCTTGCCGTTTACCTGAGTCACGAAGACGGCGGAGGACCGCTCATGAAATTAGAATTGTACATCTGTTGACTCGCACCCACAGAGGCCAATGGGCAGAACCAGAGGGGGGCCAGAGATGATTCACAATGCTGTGAGCTGTGGCATGTCATGGCTCGAAGGTGCACATGCAACATACTCCACATGCTTGCACACGTCTCCAGCCCTACTGCCGCTTGCAACCCAGTTCTCTACTACTATACAGCTTTTCAAAGAGCCATCCTTTCAAGTTCAATCATAGCTTTCACCGTCACGGTGTCAGCGGCGGTTGGGCCTCCAGGGTCCGACGGTGTTACGCTCAAATCGACTCACCGGCACTGCAAATCTGCTGCGCTGTAGGCTGAGCTTCTGGCTGCTGCCTGCAGCTGTTACAGGAGCAGGACAGCCGTGCTTGCGAAACCTGTCACAAGTCGAGAGGCCGACTTTCCGGACCCTCAGCAAGTCAGTGCGAGTCGGGTCTCATTGACCGAAACGAGCAAGTTTGGCCGTCGATGTTGATCAAACCCCCTGTGAGGAAAGCAAAGGGCCTGAGCTTCAACCACACACTTTCAGCTGACCGCATCGGATGCACTACGCGTGTTTAGCTATGCAAGCGGCTGGTCTGAGGCACCAGCAGAATCATCCAGGATTTGCTGCCGGTGCAATGAGGTTTTTCTTCCGACAGCTGCAACTGAACAGGGACACTTGCAATGGGTACGTGAAAGGGCTAGCGACTTTGTCGAAGAGTAGCGGCAAAGGTCTAGGCGCAATGACAGAGCTCCAAAACAAATAACGCCAAGTGGGCCGGCGAGGCAAAGCCTCGTCCCCGTTTGCAGACGCCAGCAATCAAGGCAATGCTGTAGGAATTCATAAACACACTTGCGCCCATTTGGACTAGAGTATCTAACGTCCACGCATGCTCCATGAACGAAACAATCCACATTTGCCGAGAACGTCGCAGATCACCTGCTGTATTAGCAACAAGTACTTACCAGGCGGGAGCCCGACGGACGGCTGCAAATCGAGACAACTACCATTTAAGGCAGTTGAAAAACAATCCCTTCCTGACTCTGGCCGGATCCTCTACTTCTCATGCTGCTAAACACGAGGAAGGAAGTCCACTCGGAGTACGAGAGGCCTTTGTGGCTGATGGCACCCTGCCATCTGGGCGCCTTGAATGTCATGCTTGCATGCACATTCCAAGGTCTCCCGGTTATTTCCCCACTTAAACTTGCTTGTGCCAGGGCCGCTGCAAGACTGTGGAGAACACGAAGCCCATGAATGCCACGAGGATGACAGCCTGGCAACTTAGGAAGCAAAATCCATTGAGGGTGTCGGGTTTGGGGCTGGGTTTCCCTCCTTGCGGCACTCGTGACTTGACAAGAGCCGCCTAAATCTCTGAATCTCTGAATGGCCTGAATCCCATTGTGGATCATCTTCGCGGCCTGCCGAAAACACGGCTCCCAGGTTCCAGTGCCCATCGGGCACAGGGACTTACCCGGAAGAATATGACAAAGCTCCGATCCGGTAAAAGTGGGCCTGGGTAGTAACAGAACGCATTGGCAAATAAGAGGGTGGCGTGACCTCGCATGGGCAGAGCGCCACAGAGTGCTCCCCACCGGGTCTTCAGGGTTTGGGGTTTAGGGTCCCAGGCATGCATTCGCACCGCATGCTGTGCTGAGGGCCGTGCTGGCGCTCCAGCAAAGCCTTTCAGGACAACTGGAGCATCAACTTTCGGCGATTCTTCGGGGAGTCTCAATGATCTACACCCGCCATGTCACCGTGATCTTCGGCTGCAGACTGCTTGGGATTCTATCTACATATGTACCAGACCATGGAACTATGACTCTGACATGTACATATCTATCCATGTGTAAGAATGTGTATATAGTGCAGATGTGCACTTCTATTCAAGCAAATATGCGAACAATAAACACACACACACCAAAGCAGCATGAAGATTCTGACGCAGGAACATGTTGATTTCCTCTCCGAGCCGGCCTCCTCACCCCAGACCGGGCGAAGCCGGCATGGGATGCGGAGCGATGGCCGAAACGCTGGAAGCCGAGACGGGGAGTTTGGTTTAGGGCCTATACGGTCTGGGGAGAGGTGTTAGGCGGTATAGTTTAGGACTTGAGGGATTCGGATCCTCGTTTTTCTCTCACGACTTGCTTAGACTTAGAGTATCCCGACACCACCAAGCACGCATGCCACCGTCCACGTTGCTGGCGTCAGGGACTCACTTCTTGCACACCCATCAGATTTGAAGGACTTTGGGCTTCAAGCTCGTCAGTCGTCGCGAAAGGATGCCCTCATGAGCGAGCTCGGATAGGTCTGCAACATTGCAACCGGCACCTGGCCGAAGTGTCGGGAAATCCTTGTGGCCGTCCCTGGACCTGGGGAGGACATGACTTCTGCGAGCGAGGGCCTCCTTGCAGTTTGATCCTGCCATGTCATCCGCCAATTGCGGTCAACCAGAGGTGCACGAGAGGCAAAAGCTCAGATGACTTCGCTTAATCGCCGGCAAGAGTTGCAACAAGTGATGCCCTTGTACCAAGGCTTTTCCAACGATACAACAGTGTCTCACCTGCTTCGACTCTGGAAGCATAGCAACTCAGGGCATCACCTCACGGGCCAGCAGCCGGCCCTGAAGTACTGCTCAACTTCGCACCACAACTCGAGTTCCCGCTTGGCAAGCCATGCGCTGCCCGAGCATCAGATTTCAATCTCCGTCACTGCCACCCTGTGGGTGGATCAGGATGAAAAGGACTTTGAAACTCGGAGAATCATCACTTGCATTTATCTACGCCATAGGCATCAGATGGCAATCTTCGTCACTCTCCTGATGGAGAGATTAGATTAGAAGGACTTTTGGACACCCAGCGTCATCACAGCTGCCATAGCTTCACAGCGACAATGCCTTTGTAACGACCGCACGATCAAATCCCGCACATGCGATGCCGCCTAACAGACAGCCATATCTGTACAAGTCTAGGGTTTAGGATCTAATGTTGTATCCTGATTAGTGCCCCCCCGGAATTGTGAAACAAATCCGAAGTTATTCAGCGGGGTCTATTTGAGGAGGTCCCCTGTAATTGTGAAAAAAATCGGGCGATGCAAAATTTCGGCGAGGCTGTTGCACAGAGTTGCTGTCAAGAAATCGCTTCTGAAACGAGCCTGAGAGACCAAAGCTAAGCCTGAGAGACCAAAGCTGAGCCTGTCGGCCCTGAATCTTAAGTCTCCAGGCCAGGCAATCAAGATTCAAAGGGGGCAGTCCAGCAGCTGCCCGAATGCCGTATAATGTAAAACGTTTGCTCCCCCGGAATTATGTGTATATATATATACACATTTTTTTAATGTATTCAATATTATTTTGCTTTTGTACGGGCTGGCTTGGTTGGGTAGATGGAGAAATTCAAATAAACTCTCCCTTTTAAAATCATGTGGACCCCGTTTAAAATCATGTGAACCCCTTTTAAATTCACATAAATTCATCCCTGTTAAAATCGTATGGATCCCTTTTCATTTCATACAATCTAAATCTCACCCCCGCCCCAAATTGCCCCCCCACCCCTCCCCACACTAAACGGGGGGGGGATCCATTGTTGAGGGGGGGGGGGGCACACTAATCAGCAGACCACATTAGGGTTTAATGCCCCATTCACCAGATACACGCATTCATAAAACACCATTTTCCATAGTACACGCTTCGACATGGATGCATCAAAACGAATTGCAGGAGGTTGCAATGGCCGCAATCACATTAGTGGAGAGTCGGCATGCTACTGCACCAAGAGTGGCAGCAGATGGGCATGACAGGAGGCCAAAGGCCACTAAGCTAACAGGCATGCAAAAAACACACACACACACACATTCAAACGCTGGTGCAGACCTGTCTTTGACAGTCGCACCGCTCAGCGCTTCAATAGACTTACGCCACTTGCAGCTCAAGAAGCGCCTTCTTCCGCCGCAATCACCCTAAACCCTAGATCCAATACCCTAACCCCCAAAAATCCCAAAGGTCGCTTTTGAGGTCTCCCTACTCCTCACCTTGCCAGGCATCGCTTTCACTTGATCGGTGGGCACCCCAGCTTTTGATGAATCTGCTGAGTGAGGCGAGTCAAGTATCGCACGCGCCTTACCACAGGCTTCCCGAGCTCAAACTCGCGGCGCAGCCGCACATACGCATCATATACTGAAATACATTGAATGTCTAGAAAACTTTAGACTATGAAGCAGAATAAATTTGAGACTATCAACGTGGCTGTTGCTTGGACTACGTGTGTCTGTGTAATCTTTTGTTGGCTAGTAGGGAATGAGGGAATGAGGTACCCTATCTCCCCCGTTATCCCCTTATATATACTCTTTAAGGGATTATACAGGGTACCTCATTCCCCCAATACCCGATGGCCAAGGCCAAGCGGCAGCCGAATGGAGATGATGTCCTGCAGTCTTCAGTTCGGGTTTAGGGTTTCGGGTTTAGGAACCTCTTTTGCAAGTGTGTAACCTCCTAGGGGATTCCGCTGCACGTCGGCCAATCATACTCGCCAAGCATCTGTCTTCGAGACTGGGCCGCGGCACTTCATCAAGCCTTCAATCGTCTCGTTAAACCTCAGCACGCCAACGCGGCACGCTGACCTGTATATGCACCGTACGGGCACATGAAAGTCGCTGACATCTTTAGGTTTACTTAGGCATACCGTTTGATCCTGAGTTGTTGCTTGGAGGGGCCTTCAGTCAAACACCAAGGCTCTCGCGGAAGCTTGCCAGACAGGTCAGTGTCTAGCACATCAAAAAGTTCGAACTTGCTAGACGTGTCCTTGGCAAGCTATCACAACGCAATGTGCTGCCATCAAGTTGTGCGTCGCTGTGCTGCTCCGGAGGGCTAAGTTCACGGCAATCTCTGTATCGTCCAGAGTCTGTAGAAGGTCACTGGACTGCAGCAGCCACTTGTTGAAGGTTCTCTTTGTGATGATGCATCCCGCGCCTGGCATGGCACCATATATAACGTCATAAGAACATGAAAATACAAAAACATGACAATATCAGCGAAATATAAGACTGGCATATCAATAGAAGAATACGATCATGATATAGCGATAAAATAAGACAGTACACGTATAATACTAATACACTCATACACTAGTCTAGTAATGCAATAATGTAGTGACATAAGCATATACTGATACAATGGTATATTGGCATATTAATATGTCGGTTGATGTGATTCCGATTGTGCATGCGATGACAAATCTTTTTCATTTTGTTTTCGTGGCGATTTTGGTGATTTGATTGTCCGACGCAACGGCGGTCGGGTTGCGAGCTTTTCATTTCACGCTGCACGCAGCAGATGCTCGTGACGCTGGGGCTTTTTAAGGTGCCCTTTGCGTCGTTTGTCTGCACGAAAAACAAGAAAGGGAACCCCACCCCACCCCGCACGGGCGAGAATCACGAGCATAAGCTGGGTGTGGTCCGGGATAGCACCAAAGCATCATGAGCATCATGTGTGTTGGGCGTGGGCAAACGAGAATCCCTTTACCCGAAACCATAAACCCTCGCTTCCGGACAACTCGCACCCCCCCCCCCCCCCCCCCCCCCCCCCCCCGAACACCCCATCACCAGCCGCCCATCAAAACACCAACAGCTCGGCCCCACGAGGTTTCAGAGCACAACCCAACCAGCAGCCCCCCTCCCGAAAGCCTCACCCACAGCGAGGTTCTAGAGCGCGGTGACCCTGCGCACAACCCGACCACTAGCTCCCCTCAGGTTTCAGAGCGTGGTGACCCCCGCACGCGGACCCGACCCCCAGCAACAATCAGCGCCCCTAGCGGAGCCGATGCCTCGGCCCGCGGCGAGGTTTCAGAGTGTTTCAGAGCGTGTAAGTGTATGTAAGCGTATGAACGTATGAGATTTGCATGTTTGGTCAGTCTCTGAGGGTGTGTGTGTGTAAATGTGCATGGATGCGGGCAGCAGCGGGGCAGGAGCCAAGAAAAACAAGAATCACACATAGCGATGTGGGGAAGAAGCATATCACATATAATGCACCAACAATATAACAAGTACTAACAATCAAGACAATATAACAGTACGACAACAAGTCTGTATGCTTATGTAATAATACAATATATCAACAGTAGGATACTATACCAATAATGCATGAATACAATAACTATAATATGTACTGTCGTCAGTTAGGAAGCCAAAGTAGTGAGCCAAGCTGCGCTTCATCAGCCGCTTGATCCTGACAAAGAGACAACTAGGGTTGTTTAGGGTTTAGGGGCTCCTGCTAAAGGGGTTCTGCTTGATTGGGGGATGCTAATTTTGGGGAACTCCCATATCGGCCAAGCGTCCGATTCGTCCGGCCTTCGTATTCTTGCCTGGGTGCACATTCAGCCCAGGCACGCTGAATGATTAAGTACATCTCGCAGAGTGACACAGTACGATAATCATGCTTGTGTCGCAATCCGTCTGTGCTCTTCCGAGCCAGCACGTTGTCTTCATCATCCGAATCATCCTGCAGGGAAGTTTCAGGTCACCAGAATCAACTTCCAAACGAAGCAATGCTAAAACAGCGGCGAATACGCAGATTCTTGCTGCTTCCTGCTTGAGCCCACTTCCCCTTGTGATGGCATCGACTACAACAAGTATGTGTATGAGGGCTACGCGCTGTCCTCAGGGAGGCTTTTGATGACTCCCGACTTCATGCACATACTCTGCACCGTCTCAGCAAGCTGGAGCTCTGTCTTGTCGGCTGACAGGCCGAGGTTAAACTGCTTCTTCTTGACCTCAGACATACACGAATCTACTGTTTGCTTAAGACCCGCCCCAAAAAAAGAAAAACATATTCTTCCTAACAAGTGCAATAAAGGGAATATTAGCTGCTTTTTTAAACTGTTTTTTTTTTGGGGGGGGGGGGGTTCTCAAGCAACTAGTAGTCATAGGACATGTAAGCACCACAGAACCGTGGCAGGTCGCTAGAGAACCGGCAGACTGCCGTTCCAAAGAAAGGTTCAGGATGTAGGATTTAGGGTTTAGGGTTTAGGGTTCAGGGTTTAGGGTTTAGGGGGTTCTGGGATGGCAAGGCCGCAAAGCAGGGCGAAGACCTTGCCAAATGCCCACAGTCATGTCTGAAGCGAAGAAGAGTCACACTTCCATCGTTGACATTGTCAATAAACACCGCCATGATCCTCAAGAATGAGATGCTCGGTGGAGAAGACTTGCAGATCGAATCGGTTGCGCTGGCTGAGTTTTTTTGGTTTGGCTTAGGGAACATCTCCCACTGAGCGCGTCGCAAGTTGAAGATGCCGATGGTGATGAACAGAAACCTGTTCGAACAGGGTTTAGGGTTTAGGGTTCTTTTTCTGCTGCAGTGTGACTGCGACTGGGTGCAGAGTTGCCAGAATTACCACATGAGAACGATTGTACTGCAAGTGAGCAGCACTAGGGTGTAGCCAATCATCCAAATTCCACCTGTGCTCCCCTCACGGTGTCCTCAGGAAACCACATTGCTTCATTCTGGGCACTGGCTGCCACGTCCTGCAAAGTAAGACCTGTTTGTAGAATACTTTGCGTCGGGGACAGGTAGAGCCTTGAAAGAACCTCCTGTAGCCATGTGCTGTCATCCTTGAGAAGAACTCTACTTGATGGCGACGGATGGCGGATGACCGAACTGGCCAGCATATGGTCGTGCGTTTTGCAGCCTTGCATCCTCTAGGACGCTTTGCTTCTATTCAGCGAGTGGCGCACGCGATGTGCGAGTAAATTCGACTTAAGACTTCTGCCAAGAGTCGGATAATCTCCTGAAGAGGTCTGCCGTCGTATGATGCGCAGCCATCAGTGAAGCATCGGAAAACTGTAAACATTGCATTCGGCCTGAGACTTCTCCGTTTGGCAAACAGAGCCAGAATGGTCTGGCAAACGCTAGCTTCGACTGACACGTCTACGCTGCCCATGCAAACGCGCACAGGTAAGGCTGCGGCACTGATTCGAACTCTTCCTTAGCTGAGCCTCTCTCCAGGCATTCATGGTGGCTGTTAGGATGTCAATGTCGGCCGCACCGTAGATATACGGAGTCCGAGAGAGCTATCCCAACTCTATGAGGCAGAGAACAGACTCATAGTCAAAATTTCACCCACCCGACGCAGCCACAGCGGCGCGATATGAATAAAGCGTTCTGCAGGTCACTCCAAGGAGGTAGATGCCTGAGCCATGCCAGCAAAGATGACAAACTTGGAAAGGCTGTTGAAGTTTCACATTGTCGTTGTGACTGACTTACTTTGCTTCATCAAGTTCAAGCAGACTCGTGCCAAGAAAAGCCAAGCGACAAAGTGAAAGAAGAACAATCGCCCACAGCAGCACGCGGAGTCCTAGCCACCACAGGCACACCACGTCATGCAACACTTCTGCGCGGCCGTGAGAATGCAGGATCCTGCTGTCTATGAGAACCCGGGATGTCCTGTGAACACACCTTGGATCCTTAGATGCAAGCTAAAGGCATCTAGGCTCCGCCCACATGTTACCCAGCAACCAGATGCAACAAGTATGGCTAAGCACATCGTGCACGCTGCCATGGCAACCATGCACAGTGCTACTGTCATGGCAGGCAGCATCATCTTCAGTTCTACGAAGATCTTGAACTTCAACAGGCGGACCTGATCAGCACATGCCGCAACCAGGGTTTTTCCATATTGCGCAAGCGGAAGGTGGCTTTGCCTACATGTTGTTACCAGTAGGGAAGGAAGGAATGCAGCATCATCATATTCTCCAGAAATACTATATTCCTTCATTCCCTACTGAACCAACAGCAAGCTTACACCATTCAGGAAACTTCCCATACTTACCCAAACTTACGAAACCCTAAGAGGACCCATGTCTTGCGGCTTGAGCGGCGATGCGGCCGAGGCGGGCCAATTTGAGTGTTTTCCTAGGGCAGCGTGTTGCTTGTGCGTTTAGGCCGGATAGTTGTGGCTCTCAGAGCTGCCATGCATGACTTCTGTTGGTCTGGTCAATCCAAGGCTCAAAAATCCCAGTGACCCACCGTCCGTCGGATCTACAGGCGGGCAGCCCAACGTACCGAGACCGGTTTCGGGTAGGCTCATGCCTGTCGGGACAAGCCTAAACCCGGGAGGAGGGGGGGGGGGGCAGTGACCAACGCTTTGATCGCGAACTCTTCTAAGAAGGTGTTCATAGAGTGCTTAGAGGCTTAGAGGATACCCAGCTTCCGCCTAGGCACTCAGTTCCAGGTATGCCAAGGCAACGCAGAAGCAATCGAACCAGGACCAGTACCAGTCGGCTCCAAAGAAGAAGCCCCTGAGCGTGAAGAGCCTCCTGAGTTCCGCAGCAAAGGGAAAGCGGCAGAATTCTCGAACCTCGAAACTCCTAAACCCTAAAGCACACCTGCTGCTGTCAGGCGTCATCTTCACCATCACTTCCAGCGTGAAGAAAGTCGTAAAGAACAACTCCAGGGCCACCCAGACCTCAGAAAGTGGGTTTAGGGTTTAGGGTTTAGGGTTTAGAGTTTAGCGGAGCCTAATCTTCTCCGGCACTTGCCATCCTTGACAGACTACGTATAGCGTTAAGGGTGTAAGGCCCAGGCAGTGTGCTCTGGGCAGATGTCTGCACTGAGGCCAACCACGACGCCATTGATGATGATGATCAATGCCTGAGATCGTCGCAGATAGCATGCAAGCGTTCCTGCAGGCATGAGACGCCGAGGCACGGGGATAACGTCCAACAGAATCACGCGTGAAACCTTCGAGACGTGCGCGCGAGCAAGCTTTACAAACATCAGGATGCTGACATCGATACCGCAAGAGAAAGAAAAATCGACTGATACATCAAGGCGCCGGATCCTCTTGGTCGTCTCCCATAACGTTCCATGAAGACGGTTCGGAGTCATCTTGGCCAAGCACAGCTGATCCCCCCTAAATTGCTACCCCCCCCCCCCCCCCCCCCCCGCCCCACCCTCCCCGCCACCCCCCCCCCGGCTAACACCGGAAGATCCCAAACCCTAAAATCCCAAACAAACCCTTTGACAACCTAGGAAAGCCCAAACAAACCTTGAAAACCCTAAGAACAAACCTAAAAACCCTCAACCACGAAATCGTAAAACCCCAACCCCGAACCGTGGGCCCTAAAACCACCAACCCCCAACCGTGGGCCCTAAACCTAAATCGCAACTCTGTAACGTGAGGCTATAGCCAGGCGGCTCATGGTATTCATGGTCTTTGCACTAATTGCATGCTGGATCTTGGCATCCTGATGGCATGATGCTCAAACGCTGCCCACGCAGCCAAGAAACAGACAAGGAAGGCAGAGATGAGAAGAAGAAAGGCGAATCGGCGTTGTTGTTGCATAGCTATCTTTTTGGGGGTCTTCAGTCGGCTTTACGGGCTTGCCATCAGCACATGTCAACCCAAACAAACAGACAATGACGAGGTGGAACGGGCCAGAAAGCCACTCTACGACCCCCACTACGGTACAGCAACACACAAAAGCTGCAGTCATGACTGTATGCCCCCTCTGACCCCACATGTCCTTGCTCTTGGGCTTCACCCCCTGACAGCCAGCACGCCGAGTGTAACGCCGACATGCGCAAGCAAGGACTGAGGGTCAACTCGGCGCATGTGGCGCCTCTGTCGCTTTGGAGGAAGTCACATCCTTGGCTCGACATGGAAAGTCGAGGGGTTCTCATTTTCTACTGAGACATATTCTTCCGAAAACCCTCTAGAACGATGCTGAGGCTTTCGGATTTTCGCAGAGTAGCGCGCGCCAGTCGATCCAATGCAGACAAGGACTCATTTTCATCACCGGAGTCGGAGCGGCTCGCGCAAAATGGAACAACATCCTCGGCAAAGGAGTGGGATGCGAGATAGACCAGGCTTTACTTTCATGAGTCTTCTATGAGGACAGCAACTACGAACGCCGAGCAACACAAAAACAGTACCAGCGCGACATAACGACCCACCAGTACTATTGCTGTTGCTGAACCCCTTTGAGTTACTTCGGTTCGCATGATAGACATGCTTTCAAGCAGCAGCTTCTCAAGATTCCAGAGGAAGTAAGGATCCAAATGTTAATGAGTTGAATCCAACATGCCCACAAATCCAACTATCCCAAAACTCCCCACAGAGGTAGCGTCAGCACAACAAGAATCTAGCCGCGGCGACTGCGCTAAGACAGCATCGATGCTCATGCTCGCATCATCTAGAGTCTAGAGCACCGGTCACACGTTGTACATGGGCCGTTTCCGCATGTGACCATGATCAAAGGTGGCTCCGCTCAAGGCAGGTAGCATCTGTGTTCTTGATGGCACACGCGAGCTTATCCACGGTGCTGCCGGCCTTCGGGTTGGGCTTCCTGCATGAGAGCATGGCGCAGTGGCGGCTACAAGGCGCAGCAGCTGCACAAATTGGGGCGCGCCAACTCTGGCATGCTCTCAAACCTTATCCGAACAGTCCTTAACAGGGATTATAATAGGGAGTACCATAATTCCTATTAAGGACCGTTGTTATAAGGTTTGAACATCCCAGCTGAGAAAAGGCTTGGGAGTCCTTCCGATGGCCGGCGGAAGATTCTCAATCGGAGAGTCGACATCGCTCACTGCATCCGCCCACCTCTGCGCTGGGTCGAGCATTTCTTGCAACTTGCTTGTGGCTGGCTGGTGCAGGTAAAGCACATGTACCTGTGCCTGCAAGGCATCAGTAGTCTCTGCACAGGCACCCTAAACCCTAAGCCCTAAGCCCTAAGCCCTAAACCCTAAACCCGCATGCAGACAGGATGCGCTTGAGGTGAGTGTGGCGATGTTGGCAGAGATGCGGGAGTGTGTGATGTCACAAGCGACCGCGCATTCGCATGCTCCTTGGGAAAGATGCCCCATAGCTATAGAGAAGCTCATGACATCTTCACATGCATCACGCTAAGACTGCAAGCAACCGGAACTCCACAAAGTTGCATGCCCAGTCGCACGAAGCCCTGCTATGTTGCTGATGGGCTTATCATGCCTTATGCTGGCAGTCAGTGGTCTTGGCTTTGCGTGTCTAGCTCGAAAAGACTGCTAGGTTGCCGATAGAGTTCAGTCCACAAAGCAGGAAGGGCCTGGTCTCCTTCTCCCTTCCTAGCCTACCCCAACAAGCTGGCAGACCTGCGGACTGCTGGGAATGCCTGGACCGGTGAAACCCTGGAAGACCCCGCAAACTTTGTAAAGCCTATCTGAGTCTCCTTGGACCTTCCTTGGGCCCAATACGTCCTTCCCCACCGAGAAGGGCTGGGAAGTTGGTCGGGTGGGTGTTACAGTATGCAGCTCCGCAGCGGGGAGCCCCCCCGAATTTGGATGGGTAATGATGCGTAGTGCTCCCCAAATCAGGCACGCTGAGCAGAAGGATGTACAGTAGAAAGGATTCTCTGGAAATCAGGCTTACTGCGGTCAGAGCACTCGTCCTGCTTCACCGTCAACTGCCCTCTCAGACGCGCATTGTCTGCAGAAAGCCGTTCCTTGACCATGCCAGGTACCCCGCAGAATACATGATGCTTAGGTAGAAGATTCGATGCATGGTTTGATTCGACCTGCAGTTTTCTGGCAAAGAACTGATGCAGTGTGTAGCTGATCTCGGAGCAAGAATGTGCCAGCAACACAACTTCACGAAAACAATGCACACAAGTTGCAAACTCCACTGCCAGGAAGTCTAAACGTTCGCGGATCTCTGGCAGCATGCTTTGCTGCGGCAAGGAAGGCATTCGAATCAACTCAGACGTAGTGGGGTGCAATTGCGACTGCCCGTCGTGGAGCTACCTGACAGGTTCTAGATGTATAACTCTGAAGCATGGAACCGATCGCATTCATGTCCCATGAATGATCGAGTCTTGAGCCAAGACTAATGAAGGGGCAGGTACGAACAATGCGTGGGGAGGCTTGCAACATCTCTGAACATGTCAGTCCTGGCAGCCAGCAAGATCCCTTGTGCATCACATGCAAATGTCACAATGTCCCGCTGTACGGTCTTTGCGTACGGTGCCAGCGGCGCCGCTTCCTGAATCTCGGTGATGCTCAGCGGCTCCCACCTGCTGAGTTGAAGCTTGTGGCTGTCATGTGACTGCACGCCAAATGAGCTGTGCTTGAAGCCTGAGTCTGTCATGCAGTTCCATCGGGCTTATTCCAAACCCATGAAGACAACTCAACACCCTACAAGGTCGTTTCAGCCGCAGACATGCTGCGGATATGCTGCAGGGTGTATGCTACCTATTCTTGGTGAAACGAACGGCAGGAGGATGAGCGCAAAAATGAATCAATTTAGGATGGCTTGCTCGCAGTCGCAAACAGACTTTGAACACCACCAGAGCGAGCCGCGTGCGCCTATGGGATCCCACCGGCTCTCCCGACCTCGCCGAAGCTCGCGCTGAGACGTGCGAGGTGGAGCACTTGCTGCCGACCCGCGCGCATCGGCCGCAGAAGCCGAACTGCTCTCCGCCTTTTGTTTACAAGCACTTGGCACTGTCATTTCAAGAGTGCACCATGACCCAAGACCTGTCAGGAAGGACAGGTGTATCACACCCCATTGCATACCCTTACCGAAAACTGCACCAGCAAACCCTGAAATTTTTTTGCGGGACTTTACGAACACAGGGGACCCCTACTAAAGACCCCCAAATCGTAGGAGCAGTAGGATCCCCTTATTATAAGGACCCCAAGAAGGTACCCCCTAAACCCTGAACCCTAAACCCTGAACTCTGAACCCTGAACCCTGAACCCTAAACCCTAAACCCTAAACCCTGAACCCTGAACCCAGAACCCTAAACCCTAAACCCTTCGGAAACTTATGTCAACCTGGGATCCTGACACGAGTCACCAGCTTGGGCTTCTCTTCCAGGACTCCTCGCCAGCCATCCTCGCCACGACATGAAGGGTTTAGGGTTTAGGGTTTAGGGTTTTGGGTTTAGGGTTTAGGGTCTATGGAAGCCGAGGACGGTTTAGAAGAGTATTAGCATCATGCTCACTAAATTGTACTATTGGAAATCATACTCTTCTTTTAGAACAAAAACTCTCCTTCGCTTTATTGTTATTGGCACTGTCGCTTGGGGTCTAGGACCTTTAGGATTCAGAGCTACCGCGGAAGCCGCGTGCAGCTCTCGAATTACTTAGGTTTTTTTTTGGAGTGCTTGTTGTAAGGGTGCTGTATTCTATTGGGGACCCAGACATGAACCTTAGAATTTAGAGAACTACCTCACGTACGCGCAGAGCGGCCTGCTCGAGCATGAGAAACTCTGTGCCGTCGACCTTTGGATTCCAGATGGGTTTAGGGTTTAGGGTTTAAGGTTTAGGGTTTATGTGGCGGTTTCCTAGACTAAGACTAGGGATTCCCAGACCCCTGGGAGGATCCAAAAAATAGACCCCCCAAATAGTACCCTCTAGTACTATTGGGTCATTTTTAGGAACCCTTAAGGGGATCTACTTTCTGGATCCTTCCAGGCGTCTGGGTTGGGGTCCTTCATTATAAGGGAATCCTACTATTTGGGGAAAAAGCCCTTATTTTCGTAAACCCCTAGTTAGATTCATCAGGAATCCCACATGAATCCCAATGATCTCCGATGCAAAGCCCTGTAGCAGGTGACCCCTGCACCCTCAAGGTTTTCGCACATCAAATTTGGCCATAGACAGCATTCCGGAAAGATTCGGGGATCCAGCTTGTGGCTGGACGTCTTGTATCCCGCAAGGCAAGAAGTTTTGGTGGTTACGGTTCCAGACATGGTCGGTGGCAGTCTGGCCCGACTAGTCATCCCCATTTGAACATGCAGTCGGATTTTTTGAAGTGGAGCTTTACGACACAAGTCATGAGGGACCCCTATAATACCAAGATAGTAGGATCGACATGAAATAAGGACCCTGATAATAAGGTAGCCCTCACGTGGGACCCCCCCGCCCCCCTCTTTGGAATCCCTGCTTCGGGCCTGGCGACTTCCTAGGCACGGCCAAGAGCGCCGGTCATGTTTACATAATTTACTTAATTTACTCAAGGGCTTCATGAGGGTTTACGAAAACTTTACGAAAATAAGGGGCCCCTGATACAGTCCAAATAGCAGGATTCCTGTATAAATATGGACCCCAATAAGGTACCCGCAAATTTCGGAAACCCCCATGCTGGATGTCATGGCAGAAGTTCTGGGCCACGTCTTCTGGCCGCAGTCTGTTGGCTCTAGTTTCAGACACCAGGGGCAGGGCGACCGGCAGCGGCTGGTCATTGATTGCCTTTCGGCGCTTTCTTGCCTGGTCTGCAGGGTATGCAGAGCTTTCAGGCTTCAAGACGTTTTAACTAGAGGCCATGTGGGGGTTTACAAAAAACAAGGGACCCTTAATATAGATCCCCAAATAGTAGGACCCTCTGGGATGTTCCCCCTCATACTAACAGTACCCCCTGTTATAATCCCTCTTAAGGACTGTTAGTATGTGGGGGAACATCCCGTATCCCTGAAAATTCTGACCTCAATATAAGGTATCCCTAATATCCCCTAAAGCCTGAACCCTAAACCCTAAACCCCAAACCTCAATTTCGGAAATCCCCAGGTTGTAGCCATGGCCTCAGCTTCACTTGGCGGCTCTCCCTCTCGTAGGGCAGCCTCGGAGTCCCCAACTGCAACCCAACAGAATACAAAGAAAAGATTATTATTATTATTATTATTATTATGATGATGATGATTATGCTTATTATGATTGTTATTATTCTAATTCTTGTTATTGTTATTAAAATTATTGTTGTGACGATTATTCTTATTGTTATGATTATCGTATATGTGAAAAAACAAAAACATCATGAACACGCGGCCAGAATGCTTTAAACAAAAAACGCTCATGGACGAAAGAGCTGCTCAAGGCATGGGCGGCTTGCCGCACCTCCGCTGCGGTGATCGGGGCACTTCCCTGCAGCCTGCGATGCTTCGAGAAGTCCACATATCAAACTAGGATGGCCCTGAAAACCCTCTGAAAAGTATTTCTGAATAGGATCCTCTTATGATCCTCTTATGACCCTCTTATGATCCTCTTGAATCCAGTAAGGGGAAATATGAGATGTCCCAAGGGCCAACCTAGAAAAGTGTGCGGGCGAGACTGAGGTTCTAGGGGATGCCCGGCGCGAGTATGCCAGGTCACCATCAATAAACCCTAAACCCTAAAACCCGAAACCCTAATTCTAAACATCAAAGCATTATCGTGGCAACTAACTACAGGCCTGGATGCCCCGGAGAGCAACTCGGCTGCTTCAGCACACGCGACCTCACACAATCATGCTTCGAAGTCGGGTCAAGTCGGCATGCATGTGCCCAGCATTCCCAGAAGCACTCGTTCCGCGATGTCACTGTGGGAATTCTGGTGCCCATGCGTAGCACAGTGCAGACTTCTGGGCACGAGGCTCCCAGCAGCAGATCGGCGGCCTCCTCGTCCCAGTCCTCCACACCTTGCGCAAACGGCCGCACTACCTGCAACCACAACTTGTATAGTATAAGGTGCAAGGAGCATACTACACACAATCATCGACCTGACGAGATAGGGCTCAGAAGGCCAAAGCCCCACGAGCTCAACATTCCGAAAAGGTCCTTACCAAGGAGAATATTTGGGGCACAATTGTCAGGGGTACCCCTATTTTCGGAAATGCCATGGTTGTGTCTCGACTACCCGGGCAGTAGAGCTGGCACTTCGAGCACAACTGGTAACTGATGGCGAGAACTCTCCGCATGAACTGAACCCTAATCCGGACATGTGAGGCCTTTTGCAACGTCAAAACGAGCACGTCATCTACGTCACCGCCGGGTGCGGTCTAATTCTGAATTTGGCACTTTGTGTCGCCACACATGAGCATGACGGCTTCCGCAGTAATGGACGAGCTAAATAAGACAATGCCTGCGTTCCCCCACCCCCCCACATGCAACCTCCCAAGATGCTTTGAATTTATTGGAAGCCTCACCCTCCAACTGGATTGAATTCCAAATAAGCTCGGCACGCATCGAGCAATCAGGCAATCGCGGTCATGGCTTTCTGTTGTCATTGCAATTGCAAGGACACCAGAGCAATCTTTGCACACTTCTTTAAAAGATTCTGCACCAAGATCTCGTCCACATCCTGCAAGCAGTGACAATCTTATGCTGCACTAGTATCTTCAACCCTCAGGAGTGTCAAACACAGAAGATGGCCCCACTGCCTACTATGGGGGTTAGGGTTTAGGGTTTTAGGGTTTAGGGGGAAAGATTGGATGCCACGTTTCCTGCAACTGAACAGGCGTCGCTTGAGGATTTGAGCGGTCAACATGATCGGAAACCTTTTTGCGCTCTCGGGAGACTACCTCCTGTCTGAGCCCTTAGCCCAAAGTTGTGCTCCCTGAAAGGGAGCTCATGCTCGAGTCTGAGATTCAGGATGATGAGAAGGACTCAAGATGCCAGATTCTAGATGATACAGTACAGCTGAAAAGATCAAACATGATGACGCACGCAATTTCTGTCAGTCTTCTATGACTCGATGACGCTGCAAAAAGAAGGCTTAGGGTTTAGGGTGCAGGGCATCGGGAACCCTAAACCCTAAACCCTAAACCCTAAACCCCAAACCCCAAACCCTAAACCCTCAATGCAGAGTCGAGCTTGGTTGGCCTGGGCCAAGACGCCCACGACTTCCGTGAGAGCTGGCAATTGGAGGAGGGCCTTCCGACAGCATCTTAGGGTTTAGAGTTTAGGGTAGTAGGGGACCCCCAATATCGAAATAGAAGGATCCCCTTATAGACAAGGACCCCGATAAGGTACCCCTTATATCGTACACCCCCGCATCTGAATGACCGGGAAACCCTACACCCTTCAACCCGAAACCCTGTGCACAACCACTTTAGCTACATACTTTGGGATGCTCCCCTTGATACGAACAGTCCTTGCTAATCGGGGGTGCTATACTCTAATCATGGTGGCAAGAACCGAAGAGCGGAGTGCCTCCAAGATCTCCTTCTGCAGCAACGTCCTCAAAGGCTTTAGGCTTTAGGGTTTAGCTTAGGGTTTAGGGTTTCGGGTTTAGGGTTCTGAAACAAGGTTCAGGGTGGCAGATCCTGAGGAAGGGTACCCAGCTCCCTGCTTCTGGTTTCTTCGACTTTGACGGCTTTCTTGAAACCTAGTTGTCCAGTAACCTGGCAGAATTAACGGTTAACCTTTGGGATTAGAAAGGGATTCTACTACCCCAACAAGGTTGAAGGTTACCTACTCTACTACTGTAGGAAAAGGTTTCTTGGAGGCAGTCGGCTTCCCGAACCTGAAAAGCCAATGCGAATTCTATCAGCCCCAAAAAGTTCGAAAAACGTCTTCGTGAGACAGCACCTGCCGATCTCAGATGCAACAGCAAGCCACAGAAAGAAAATGCACCAAGGCCGGCAACCACCACACAAACCCATCAAGTAAAGTGCAAAAGTTCAAGAGGAAGCCTCGACGGGGCTTGCAAGCAATAAACGGTGCAGAGCAGGCAACAGCATCTTGGTGTCACGGTTTGAGGGCGTCATTGCTTGCGGACACGTAGACTGGCATAGACTATAGTCGAATAGATGAACCCTGGGAAGCTCCGCCAAACCCTTGCGGAGGGACTGTACGACATGCACATCACAGAAACATAGTGCGCACTGTTCCAAGAGGCTTGTGGGAACAAGTCAAGCTGATCACAAGAAGCAGGGAGATGCCGAGGCCAACTTACTTGCAGTGACAGGTCCCAAGACAAGGTCGCCACCCTGATGTTTAGCCGCCCCACTGACCTTAAAGCTGCCTCTACAAGGCTGCGACAGCAGCATCGGTAAGATGTGGAGTGCCACGGGCCTTCGGCAGCCTAAATCCTGAAGGTTTAGGGCTGAAGGGCTTTCGCGGATGTCGTGGGGTGTTAGGGTTTGGGGTTTTCCCCCTAAACCCTGAACCCCAAACCTTAAACCATGCCAGGGCTAAGGCTCCGACCCAGCCAAGCAAACGGACTCCAGCTTCTGGCAAGCGAGGAGAATTTGCAGCAGCCCCTCGGCCAAGCACGAGTGAAAGGAGGGGCCCAGCACATATCTAAGGGCTAGGGTAGGATTCTGGCTGAAACCCGACTTGCAACCCGGAACCCTTCTAAACCTGAACAACCTAAACCCTAAACCCTAAACCTCTGAAATGTCAAAACCTTAGAATCTTGAAGCCTCTAAACCCCCTGTACATCCTCTATAAACCCCACATAAAAACCTATAGAAAGCGAACAAATCTACATAACCCTGGAACGTGGTAGAAACCCTCCAAAACCCCTCCAAGAAACCCTCCAAATTCCCCCGCCTGGCGGTCCCCTACAGGCCGTAGGAAGCCGTGTTCGTCGAAGGTCAGTGGGGCTGGGGCGACCTCAGCGTTCCCCTTGAAAGACTGTTAGGGTTTAGGGTTTATGGTTTTGGGTTGTTACCCTAAACCCTAAACCCTAAACCCGAAACCCTAAACCCTAGACCCTAAACCCCAAACCCTAAACCCAACCCTTAGAGGGCCAAATTTTGGGGTTTAGAGTGCTTAATCAAGGGTTTGGGGTTTATATGGTTTAGGGTTTGTTGTTTGCTTAGGGGCGAGCTTTAAACTCGGGGATTTAGGGTTTGAGGGTTCCAAGGAGATTTCTCGAATGACCGTCAGCACAGCGCGACGGGCCTCCAATACCCTCAGCCCCGTGAAGATTGGCACAGCCTGGCCGGGCATCCAGACACTTCCAGTCAGCCGGGGGAGGGGGGTTGGGGGAATGGAAACCCCCATTGCTGAACAAGACATAACAACACCCCTATGAAAGCCCTAAACCCTAAACCCTAAACCCTAAACCCTAAACCCTAAACCCTAAACAAGGAATAGCAAAGGAATACCCCGAAATTTCTTGGGAGCAACTTTTCCAACTGCGAGCCCCGGCTCCCAGCCTTGAGATCAGACTCACTGGGGCTGTGCAACACAAGCTCTTCTAGCTCAAAGAGCTCCGGCGCCAAGCGCTTGGCGCCTGCGAGTGCTACGACAGCAGATGGCAAGCCTGCCACCTCCAAGCGTCGGAGCTTCTTTGCGGGGAGCAGGGCTTGCCCTGTTAGCTCTGACAGTTCTCCGGCTTTCCTCTTTCCGAGTCTTCCATTTCGGATGTCCAGCGAAAGCTCCCGGAGCCCACCGTGCTGGGACAGAACGCGTGCAAGGCCGCCATCGGTGAAGCGTCCTTGCAGCTTCAGAAAGCGTAGGCGGCCAGGTGGAATTCGTCTCAAGGCCTTCAAGTCCGCGTCGCCCCGCCCGCCATCTTCCGGGCACCAGGATGCCTATACTCCCCTTAGAACCTGAAATTTGTTTCAAATATCCTCCTGGGTTGTATATTATGAACAAAAAGAAAACGATTCCCAAAAAGGATATAGATGCGAGGTCTACAGAGGACCAAGCATCCCCGGAAGCTTCGAAGGCCTCATGCAAACCCTGACGGCAGCTCGCACCCCAGCTCAAGAGGGCGCGTTTGGAAAGGTTGGAGGCCACCTCTGCGAACAAAGGGCACGCCATTCATGGCGCGTGATCTGCCGGACCCTATTTTTCAGACAGCAGAATTGCTTTACTATTTTACAAGAGTCACATAAAGCCAATGCATCTAATTGCATTCCATCTTTGTGTCAAATGATTGCCCGCAGCACTTGCCATGAGATCTGAGATCATTCAGCCCGACCTGAGTGACAGCTACTCGAGTTGACAGAACCGAATGGCATAGGCGGCAGAGATTCGGACTTGTGTGCGATGGTTGGCTATGGGATATGGACTACATCATGGAAGAGCAGCTCTCTGCACAACCCGGGGCAGCAACCGAGGCCGGTTGCCAAGATTCTGAGAGAAGGATTGTGTACACACAGCTCAGGACAGTGGCCTAGTTGGCTCAGCAGGGAAGTGACTGCTTTCCTGGCTGCCTCGCATGTCACACGTGGCTCGTGAAGTCGTGAATTAACATGTCGTAGGTTCAGGTTTAAGCAAAACAGGTTGCAAAAGACTGCATCCGCCTAGTAGCGCCCAACATGCAAGCAAGACCGAACGCTCTTTGATCCAGCTGAAAGGGCCCTCGACGCCGCGCAGGATCGCGCAGGCGCTACGCTTCATAGGATTCCATGCTCATCCATGCGCACCACATGGGGTTGTTCCAAATCACAGGACCCCCCTTGCAAGCACCTTTTCATGGTATACAGGATACAGGACAACCGCACAGTTTGGTGGCCGCCACTTCCAGGGGGTGCAGTTTGGTGCGTACCTCGGTGGGTGCCAGACTTGCAATGGTCCACCAGCTCCATGCAGAAGGTGCCGACTTGCTCCAGTTGCGAATCTTGAGCACAATCTTGTGCTTGTCAGAAACATACTGGGTTGTCCATTGCAAAGGTTTGCCCTATGCGGGTGAGAAGTCTACGCGGAAATCCGAGGCCAACCCATCCTTTGCTGGATCAAAGGCGAGTGCTGGTGAAGATGGACCAGTGGGTGCCTGTGGCAGCGGCAAGGATGTTGGTATGGCTGTGGCCTGCACCACGGCTTCCGGCAATGGCGTACTTGCCGACGGGGCGGCCTCCACTGCAGAAGACAGCTCTCTTGACAGACCCGAAATGGATGCTTCTGGACTCAGACGCCTCGCTAATACGCTTGACTTGAACGCCATGGGCTGTAAAGCCACAGTGCCGCGCAGCCATTTGCAGAGAGCTTCTCGGCTGAAGAACATGGAGAAGTCTGGAAGCGACTCTTTGGGGCTCTTCGCCAGCTGGCTCTCCATCATGTGCAGGTATGCCTGCTGTACGGCATGCCCGAATGCCCCACATCCACGGTCCACGTAGATGCAAGCATTGGGATCGACATTCACACCTACAACCTGACCCAGCCCATTTCGCCAAACATAGTTCACCCAATCGGGCTGGCAACTAAAGCAGGTCATGCCCGCCACAAAGGCCAACAAGTGCAGAACGCAGGGCTTCACCTCCTCGAGCGCACTGCGCACAGCATCAACTGCCCTGTCTAGCAGGTGCTGCTCGAGTTGAAGTGCATTTTCATAGACTTCCGAGCTGCGCAGCTTCACCATGGATGCCAAGTACTGCTCGAGTACGTGGACCTCCGCCTCGATACGGTCTCTGTGCGCATCGAAGACTACGAGCTGAAATGGCTCAAGGTTGGTATTGCAGCAAGAAGGCTTCCCGTTCCATCTGGCACATCTCAACAAGCGGTCATGAACAACAGGCCGTGGCTCCAGCTGCGCCAGGTCATTCGCACCGGTGTACCATTGGATTCGAAACAGTGGGTTCATGCACTGAAATGTGGCCGCTTCTGCAGCTGTCACTTGCAGCGTGTCTGACAGGACACGACATAGCAAAGCCGAGGCACACAACAGCACAAAAGCTCGTGCCATTGCAGTCCTAATGCGTCCAAATGTTTTTGTGACCTTCTACACATGTGGCGCAGCCAGGCTGAACTGACGCACCTGAGCTTTCAGGTAGTGGCTTTGGTGGCTTTGTTTTGTGCCAAGCCCCTTGAAGAAATCGATAATCGGATGTCTTAGTGTGCTGGATTCGTGCCCGCAAGTGTCGAGTGCATGAGTTGAAATGCGCAGATCCACATTGACATGTAGGTACAGCGGCCTGCATGCAACAGCGATGTATATCTGTTTGAGCAGCCGCGCTAGAAAGATTAGCACGTACTCTGAGCATCTCTCGAGACTTCCCAAGGGGTGCACAAAAAAGGACTGCAATTTTCAATCTTGGCCTTGGCATATACGCACAGCTCGAGACTGTCAAGTGCTAGCTTTTCATGCTCGGGTGTAGCTGTCTCTGCAGAACCAATCAGTGGCCTCTGGCGTCGCTGTGGCCATTGCCACACACTCATGGCTGAATATTTGTGACGGTTTGTGATTTTTCAATGATGCTGTGGGCACATGGCGAAGATGAGATTGCAGCGTGACCGCAAGGTAGCCTGACTGCATGGTAGCCGGGTCCTGAAGCATTTGCCGCGGCAGCAAAGACTTTGGCTACTACAGGTAGGGCTACCTGGCCCTTGAAGCAGAAATTTGAACCACGGTACGGAAGAACAAGTATCTTTCTCGCACGTCCGCTCGCATCTCGTGTCGTTACCTTTCAAGGGTCGCCAGCACTGAATGCACGGCATCTTTGTTTCATTTTTTTCAGCATTCTCCACGCTGATGTTCGGTGTCCTATCCATGCGCCGCCAACTACACATCGGCAGCCCGCTACGTCCCAACTCGGTCCACAGGTGCTCTGGAAACTACCCACCCTCAACCCTAAACCCTGAGGGACTCTAAGGGGCGTGGCACATGTTGGGCTCTGATTGGGGCGATGGGAGTATGCGCGGTGCAGCTAGGCCGGCATGGCCATCCAACCTTGTTGGAAAAGCTGCATCGCCTCACTTTGTGGGCCTCAGACAAAAAAAGGCCCTAAACCCTAAACCCTATATAAACCCTAAACCCTAAACCCTAAACTGGCCCTAAAACTGCTAGTCAGGGCCCTGGCGCCTGACTTAAGGAAAGGGAACAGGGAGGCATAGGGAGGTGGTCAAGAGCCCAGGAAGGAGCTTTCTTGAAAATAGGGGTATCTTTGATACACACCTAGAATACTATGACCCCTATGATAACCCCCGGTCGTCTAATTTGGCAGTACGTCTGCGAGCAATTCAGGCGGAAGAATGGAGAAAAAACAGCGGAGATGGCTCAGTGACGGGTCATCTCATCAGAACATATCAAAAACATAAACAGTCTTCTCTCTGTGTGTGTGTGTGTGTTTGTTTGTGCCTGTGCCTGTGCGTGCGCGTGCGCGTACGTGTGCCTGCGTGTGCACGTGTGCGCGTGTGCGTGCGTGTGGGTGGGTGCCGAAACAAACGCGCATCGTGTCTTTCGACTTTGCTACGCAAGACTCAGACCTTGAAATGTAACTCAAACTTGGCAGAAGAGCTCAAGCAAAGCTGAAGAAACCTGCGGCTCTTGTTTCTCACCTTGCGCTCGCTTGTGGACTTATCTGCTCCACTCTCTCCAAGACTTCCTAAATGCAAACGCCATCTTGGCGTCAAAGTTTCAACATATTGAACTCATCCTCTGCTGACCAGGTTTTGGTATGTGTCCGAAGCTGTCAAAAAAGTGGGGGGAACAAAGCGGGTTTTCAACCTGCTTTCATACCACCGAGGTTCGGGCGCGTTGTCCGGTTCTTTGCCTTGCGTCTCGGGCCAACAGCCTTGGTCTTGGAGCTTCCGAAGCTCGTCGCTGCGTGGAGAAGAGTGCTGATCGAACCCTTGTACATAAGCTTGCTATCGATGCCTATTCCCTGCCACAGGCCCAGAGCAATTACAGCCTGCTAGGAGATGACGACTGCAGCAGCTCTTCTTTCACAACTCTTTGCAGAATCGTGGCTGGTCGATCTGCTTTTGGGCTTGATCCGAGCAGGGCCTTGGGCAATGTTCGTGATTGGAGGACCACTTGGGTGGTTGAGACTTTGAAGATGCTGGAGATTGCTGATGTCAGAAGTTGCCATGACGGCCACTCACTGAAAGCCCTTGCCAAAGCAGCACGACAACAAAGGTGGATTGACGGCATGTGCAGTCTTCTGCGACGTCAACCTACTGCACACGAAGTCAAGCTCCACACCGAGTGTCCTGCATGGCGTTTCTAGGCTCTTGCTCTGTGGCCAGAGGCTTCTGCGAAAGGGGCGCGCATGCGGCCTCTTTCCGAGCCAGCTGCCTAGCAGTCAGACGAACACGCGGTCCACCTGCTTTGGGGCGCAACCTGGGATGTCCTTGACATCAACGGGCCTCTGCAACCGATCCGCGAGGTAGCCTTTCTGCTGCCAAATGGTTGTCCAGACGGCACTTGTTTGCCTGCAGAGGCACAGTACACATGGCCCATGCTTGCAGCGCTTGCAGTGTGGCACCACCTGTTTCCTCCCCATTGTTCGGGTATGAACGCGTTGGCAATTGTCAAGCTCCGAGGGAACATTAGCATCCTACCGACGTTGTGAGACGCGCGGAACGAGCTTCAATAACATCGACCAGAAGCATTTAACACACAGGCCATCAAAACAATAGTAGACATCGGAATACTCAGACATTCCATGCTGGTTCCGGGCGCATCTTTCGTGGCCTGACTTTCCCGAGGCTGCAGGAAACGAATTCGGGCACGAGCAGCACTTTCGAAGGAATCCTATAGTAGGCCCGCTGACATTGGCTTCAAGGGTTGCAGAAGATGATGTCTGGCAGTGGCTCGCTCGAGGTCCATGGCAGAGCTGCCCAGAAGCTTCCTCACACAGTGGCAGAGCCTACTGAAGGCGCGCGCTGTAAGCGATCCCGCACTACTCGTCATGATCTCGTGCGCTTGAAAGCTGGGCTGCAGGCACAGGAGAAGGTGCAGCGGTCTCCTGCGCGCCGCAGCTGCTGCTTGCAGCACGGATGCCGTCTCGGCATCGAGGTCGTTTGCAACGAGGTCGAGGGATTCGAGCCTGTGGGAGGAAACTGCTTCCGCCATAAACAGCGCTAAGCGACGAAAGTGTTGAGTTGACGCTGAGCTAACCGAACCAGCCTCGGCATACAAGGTAGCATGCTCAGCAAGGCCTGCAGGCACACGCGAGTCTTACGCCTTACGCAGCGCACGTTACTGCTACCGGTTGTGCTCTGCAACATGCGCTGTGCTCACCAGGAGCCTCTGCAGCAGCCGGGCTCAGATTGTTTCCGCGGAGGTTGAGGCGCCGCAGCTTGCCACTCGGCGCATCCTTCACGGCCGTAGCCAGCACAGTCAGTCCTGTCCACGTGTGCCCAGAGGCCCAATCAGGTCCACGTGTGCCCACAGGCCCAATCAGGCTCAGCGAATACCAACATCATCCAATGCTAGGAAGACAAAGTCTACTATGTCTACACACCTCTCTGCTAAAAAACACTGAGCACTCGTTTCCAAGAGATCCCTCCTGCGTCGCTGATGTCGTTCCCTCCCAGATGCAAGCGCTCCAGGCCAAGCTGTTGGAGCCGAACCCAGTCTGCCGCAACGGCCATTGCGGCGTGGTCGCCGAGCCCTGCACCACCCAAGTCGAGCACATGATCGCGAGGCCGGAAGACCTCTGCGCATTAACAAGCGAGTCGCCGACCACCAGGCTCTCAGCTGCCAACCCTATCCAAAGCAAAACTACACATCCATAAACCCTGAACTCTAAACCCAATAAAAAAATCGGCTCCACTGAAGGCTGGACCGTAACTGAGCCCTGCACATCCTGGAGGAGCACGTCTTGCAGCTCCTCTTGCGGCTCCTTTTGCCTTGGCAACACCCCTTTCTTTGGGGTGGTTGGTTACCTTTGTTTCAAGGGTTTAGGGTATACTATAATTCGGGCACCCTCTTTTTTGGGGGGGTTGGTTACCTTTTTGTTAAAGGAACCTTGAACCCAAGAAAGAAAGGGTGCCGCTGGGCTACCAAGCTGCTCACTTAAGACCAAGGCCCAGCTAGCAGTGGATTCCTCGGGGACTTTGGAGCCCACGCTCCGTTGGACCCCTGATCCCTTTCGCCTCTTGGACTTCGACAGGCGGGCCGAAAGTCGCAAGGACTGGATCAAGGGAGGCAGTGTTCCAGCTGCTTCAGCTGTTTCAGTGGCCATGGCAGAACCAGGATCCCTGGAAACCCTGGGAAGCGCCAGATTTCGGGGCGCGCTTCTGCTGGAGGTCTCTTGGTGAGCCACACCCCTGCAACATCAGGGCATTTCAGCCTTCCAGGACCCAAACCCTATTCTGCAATTATACACACACCCGCCTGAAACCCTAAACCCCGAAAACCCACGAAACCCTAAAACTCTATAACCCCATAAAACCATAGAAAATCCTACTAGACCGTGCAAATACCCTAAACCCTAAACCCTAAACCCTAAACCCTAGACCATCCTGCAGCCAACTTGTCTCGGCCTCCACACAGCTGCCATCTCTGAGCGCTGGAGGTGATCGGCACGAGCCTCCGGACTCGCAAGCCCAGCAGGGCAACAAACAACCCCTCAACCCAGGGCCTAGGCCGACCCCCCCTACGGCGCTCCCAGGTCGCTCGCCCGCCTCCCACAGCTCGGGGGTCGAGCACCCACGATGGGCCCAGTACCGGAGCACGTTCTCCTATAAGCTTTCGAGCTTGTTCCAAAACCTAACCTTCACAGCATCTACGCCATATCACAGCAAACCCTAAACCCTAAACCCTGAACCCTGAACCCTGAACCCTGAACCCTAAACCCTAAAGGCAACCCTAAACTCCGAACCCAGGGCGCGGTTGTAGGCCCGAAGCAACCTGTAGTTTCAGCAAGGCAATCCTCTAGACATTTCAGGCTCAGACGATCTACTGGGCGGGCGAAACACATTCCCCCTCCACATTTCATAGCTATTGTACTCAAGTAGCCCCCAACCGCATGCAACAAATGGTTTCATAACGCCCGAGAAAGCCCCAAGGCCTCGCCACGGGCAAGTCGCACGGAGCGCCAGTCTGTCAGTGCAGCGGCGAGATCTCCTCCCAACTGAGATTGTCTGAAAAGCAGGGTGGTATCTCGAATCGACCCCCCGCATCCCTTCTGCTTCCTTACAGTTATGTCCCCAAAATACTACAGTCCTATGCTTCCCTTTACTTGTGTCCCCAAAATACAACGAGTACAGTCCTCATCATAGGGGCCCCCCCCAAAATGGCTTGGGATCCCCTCCTGCTATATAACTCCCCCGGCTCGTGTAGACTCGTGTACTGACCTATAACCCTCAATTACATAAGGCAGAGAGGTCCCTTAAAACCAGGTACTTGGTAAGAAAGGGCAGTTTCGGGAGGTTCTCGGAGAATCCAGCAGAATGTCTTGTTTCACCTGTTTTTGGGCAGTTGTTGCTCGAGACTGCAGTCCATTTCGAGCCCTAAACCCTAAACCCTAAACCCTAAAACCCCCACACCGAAATCGACAGCCATCATGAGCCTCTCCTCTAAGCGGGGTGGATAAACGCACGGCCCGTGAAAAGGTGATCCGCCTTGCGCCCAACATGCAGTTTCTGCCATGAGCTTGTTCATGGCTTGCTGTCCTCATACATACATTTTTGCTATTTAATTATTCATTCGTATTTGTTTGTCTATTTATTTGCTTATATTATAAGGCCGGTGGCCTCTTTATCTGTTACCCATATACCTTAATATAGCCCCTAGTCACCCCTAGAAGAACCCCCTATAAAACAGAAACCCTACTTAAAGAGACCACCAACCCATGTAATGCTTATAGCATAAGCATATACGAATACATGTATATATATATATACACACATATTGTATATATATATATATACATATATACATATATATGTACAGATGTCGCTGGTAGTTTGGTCACCATTGCCACTGCACTCCCGAGAGAGCTGTGGGAGAAGCGACCTAGACTTGGCCATGACCCGGTGCACCCAGGCCCCAGGCGTTCGAAAAAGCAGCCGCAGAGGCACGCCGCAATGGGCCTCCTCGGCCTGGTGCAGAAAACGAGGCGTATTTACATAATGTAATGTAACTTACATAATGTAATTATACTCAAGCACTTGGCTAGCTGCGAGCATTCATGCTCCTGAAATCTTCACTGACACAGCTTGGGCCATCGGGTCAAGTCTTCAATTGACAGCCCGGCCTTCGCAATAGCTTCGGCCACAGCTTCCTCAAAGTCTGCCTGGCCTTGCCATGTCCATGTGCAAAGGTCAGCTGCTCGAGCCAATCTGGGGGTTCACGATAATGGGGGTACCTTAATGCGGTCCTTTCCAAAAGGGGATCCTACTATTTGGGGGTCTAAATTCGGGGCCCCCTATTTTCGCAAACTCCCATCTCATGCAAAGGCTCACTCATATTCTGGCGAACGTGCAGAGGAGTAAGGCCGAAACGCAAGGTGCTGCGACCAGCCTCAAGCAGGCAGCGGCCATGGAATCAAGGAACCCTTGGCCCCCCAAAACATCTGTAAATCCCTCAACCCTAAACTAAACCCCTATAGCCCTTGAGGGAAGCAGGTACCTAAAAAACCTGGTTGTTTCGTGAACTTGAGAGTTTCTTTTTTTTTGCTTTGTTTGGGGGGGGGGGGGGGGAAGGGGTTGGTTACAACCATGCTACTCTATCCATGCCCAAAACACCGGTATTTTCAGCGTTTTTGCTCCTCTACACAACGGCTGCGCCAGGACGTTTGACGTTTTGTAACAAGACGCACTGTCACAAGGCTTATGCGAACGGTGTGTCGTCATGACGCTCGAACCACTAACAACTGCCACCAGAAGCAACATAAAAGAAACAAAACAAGAATGCACAAAACCGACCCTTCTGTGCATGTCGTAAAACATCGTAAAAGCCATGGTTTTATGTGCTTGTTTGCCGCCATCGCGCCCTTTCACTAAACCGAAATCCCTAAAGCACCCCACCGTAAGGCTCCCACCAACTTGGAAGCTGCCTCACCGAGACTCTGGAATGCCTTTTGCGGGAGTTGCGGTCGGTTTAGGGTTTAGGGTTTAGGGTTTAGGGTTTAGGGTTTAGGGTTTAGGGTTTAGGGTTTCGGGTTTAGGGTCTAGGGTTTGGGGCTTGGGGTTTGGGGTAAAGTTTAGGGATCCTTTTGCCTGGGCTTGAGGGTTGGGATGTTCCCCCTGATACTAACAGTCCTGCAGAATCCCAATTAAGAACTGTTTGTGTAGGGGGGGAACATCCCAACTTGAGGGGGGCTAATGTCATGAGTCCTCATGGGTATCCCAGTAGCCAGGAGCACCGACTTTCATGGGCAAAAAGGGGCGTCTTTTAATGGAAAGCATAATCTCCTGTACAGCATGCAAGCACCAGATTCAGTGCATCTTGCAAAAGCTTCAACCAAGAGTCTACAGGGACCCGAGGGTTGAAAATTGTGCGGGAAGCGGTCCATTGGAGCAACGCTCTCGCAACGCGAACGGAACTCGGCCAAGCCAGTTCAGAAAATCATGGAACTTCCTAGATCTGGACCACGCGCGTATAACCAGTGTAGTGGGTACTGATATTGTAGCGGGTAACGACTACGCTAAAGCAAGCATTTGTGCCAAAGCAGACTCACCATGTGTGGTGCCCCGAGAGCACACCAGGGTGTGCAAGTATGCATCCTCAGCCGACCTTACGTCCATTGACTGGTGACTGGAAAGCTTTAGGCTGCGAGAAGCTTGTGCAAGCTTACCTGCACGCTGTACAAGCGCAGCTGCATTCACTGTAGTCTGCAACAGGTCGGGGCCAGAGCCTTGCACCCAGCTTGCAAGTCTCTCTCAAGTTGAGAAACCTTATTACTGATAACCTAAACGTCGTGGCTGCGAGTCGAGGCGCCAGTCTTTGCAAGACCCGTTCCGGAACAGGCATGGCCGGAACCTGGTCAAGCAAGTACTTCAGGGTTTAGGGTTTAGGGGCAGAAGTGGAGATCACGAAGCGAGAGCCGCCTCATGGAGCACAAAACGTCGAAGAACAGGGCCTGGGGAAACAATTTCGCTTGCCAGCAACTCACCCAGCCAAGCCAGCTCATGAAGAAAACTCCACCACCCCCATGCCGAGTGTATGCGTGCAAAGTGCATGAGCAAGTCTTTAAGCCTTTTATTATTTGCACTTAATGAATTAAACCTAGGTCTGATATTGTAGTTTCATTTGCACATCTACACTTGTTGCTCATATTTGTTCTGATATGTATGCGTTCATGCAGATGTTTAGATGCATGCTTGCGTATGTATGCATGCGCTAATTCTTGTAGATGCAGGTATGAATATCTGCAACGTATACCATATGCGAAATTTTCATAATCCGCTATTTGCAGTTGTATGCCTCATATGCTTCCATGTACACCATTCAGTGTTGGATGATTCCGAACACAGGACCTACCTAAACCCTAAACCACCCTAACCCCTAAACCCTAAACCCTCAACCCTAAAGCCTACTGGCTTTTTGTTCTCAGAATGAAATGGCGGCCCGGCCGTCGCCGCCGAAGGGCAGCTGAGGCCATTGGTTCCTCCCAGGGCTGATGGTATGATATGGTATGGGCCTTGGGGCTTTTGGCTTAGGGTTGACCAAAAGTTTAGAGTTTAGGGCTTAGGGTTTAGGAGTCGGTGAACGCAATCTGTCCTCACTCATCATCCGACGTGTCAGGTTCCTCCGGAGCTACCTGTCAGTGCGAAGGACTGGCTATACAAGTCCCATGCACGTGATGGCCCTGAACTTTGACAAGTTGCCTGCTGCCTCCTACTGCTTGAAAGTTCACAGGGCTTACGTGCAATTGTAATTAAATAGGGCTAGAAGCCCTATTTGTAAATAGGGCTAGAAGCCAACTTACAAGTCAGGTCGTCCACGCATGGCAGGGTGGGGGGAAGTATGAGTATGGGTGGGGCGCCCTGAGGGATCCTACTCTATTCGGGGAGGAAAGCGGTCCCCAATTTCTCAGGAACTTCCCCCCCCCTAAATCCGTTCACCCAAACCCTCTTGTTGTTTTGGAAAGTCTCATGATCTGATATCACCTCAGGGTATATCTAGATCGGGGGGAACACAGGAACCCATGGACCGTGGCTCTTGTAGGTTTTGGGGCACGGGGATGTTTAGGGTTGATACTTGGAGGTTCATGGGTACTTCTAGCCCCAATGATATCTGTACTCATGACCTACTTAGGGGACTTAGGGGGCTTATAAGTGCAGCTATAATAGGGTTATAAGTGCCCTGAACCTCCAAGTAGGGTTCAGCCAGCCAAGTTGCCGAGATGTTTTTCAGCTCCATCCACCTGGGTAAAGGCGATCTCGTGTGGATGTTTTGCGACACCCCAAACCCTCCTAGACCCTAAGCCGGAGGCCCTATGCCCTAAACCCTGCTAAACCCAGGAGGCAGGGTGGGATTGGGGGAACGAGAGAGTTGCAAGGAAAGATCACAAAGCAAGTGCACACTTGCCTGTCACTCCCCGTCGTCGCGGTTCACCGTGACCCTATGCAAGTCTGCTGTTCCTTATGCTGTTCCGTCTCCGGCTTTTGCACCTCATTCGCTACTCAAAATGCGCTTCGGAATACTATTGCTGCTTGCTCCTTTCTTGTTGCTCCTTACCTTTCGCTCTTCATTCTTTGCTCTTGCTGTGGGATTGGTGACTGTAGCTCATGGACTGCCTTGAAGTAGACTGTAGCTCTACTTTGCCAGCTGCTCACGTCTTGCGCCATTCGCCATGCCTGTTCTGTCTTCCCTCATCTCGCTTTTTTCTCATTTGGGAAGCATCCGAAAGTTCTACCCCTGAATCACCTCCTACTACTACTACTACTACCACTACTGCTACTGCTACTACTACTACTACTACTCCTTTTTCTGGCTCTTGGCTCCATGATCTTCAGCATATGAACTCTCAATCGCTGGCTCGCTTCCTTGTTGCCCTGCCTTCAGTTCCGTTGATCCAGATGGGGTTTCCGAAAATAGCGGTACCCTTTTTGGGGGGTCCCTTTAAGGGGATTCTACTCTATTTGGGGCAAAAAAGGGGTACCCCTAGTTTGGGAAATATTCAGATAACGCTTGAGCATTGCCTTCTGGAGGCTAACCGTGTGCGGCCATGGTGCGTCTGAATGTGCTCATCGTCATCAATGTCGTCGCCTCGGGATAAGCATGGATAAAGCATGGATAAGCCTTACAAGCCCTAAACCCGAACCTAAACCGAGTAGGACTCCCAGTGGGCTTGGAGCTGCCACGCAATCCGAGCAGCAGGTCATGTCTGTGAAGCCGAAGTGTTCATAGAACGGCACGGCTTCGTCCAAAGCGCTCAGAGAAATCCTTTGTCAAGAAAGGGCCGACAATCAAACCCTAAGGAGTTGTAGCTGCAATTAGCCGCACGTTTAATATTGCACGTGTTCTGGTTTTTTGCTACCTGCGATATTTTCAAGTATCCCGGGCATAATTGTTTGACTTCCTGGAGGTCAGGCGGCAATTAAAATTGTTCAGGGGATTGCTTTTACGTAAAGGCTTCTGGCTTGAAAGGGTGTTTGCAAACACAATACTAGTTCTGAGTAGGACAGAGGGACTTAGGGACTTAGGCACCCTAAATCCCCGTACATGTAGCCCTTTAAGGGATTGGATGGGGAATCTAATCCCTAATCAACCAGAGCCATTGACGGAAGCCTTGTTCAACACTTGTTTTGCACGAAGGAGATGGCAAAAAACTCTGGCAGAAGGGTTTAACCCTGAACCCTAAACCCTAAACCCTGAGCCCTAAACCCTAAAGTCCAAACCCGATAAGAAGACAAGGATCCATGCGCACTGCGTGCGTGGAAGCATGGCACACCTCTTGAGCATCCACTGCATAAAGTGCTTTCCATATCCGCGACCACGGCTCCTAGCAGGCAACTCTCGCATTGGAAGGAGGTTTAGGGTTTAGGGTTTAGGGTTTAGGGTGTAGGGTTTAGGGTTTAGGGTTTAGGGTTTAGGGTTTAGGGTTTAGGGATAGGGTTCAGGGTTTACGGTTAGGGCTTGGTCTCACATTCAGGGGCCCCGCCCCGCACCCCCCGCCCACATGAAGCAAGGCTAACGGCAGTTGCTATATAATTCTGGGGTTATAGACTGTTGCCGATTATTGTAGTCGATGATTGTAGAATAGCAATACTATCTCTTATTCGGTATCGGATTACGTATATATATATATATATATATATTTTTTTTTTGTGGATATGTATATACTATTGTATTTGACCCAGACATGTTTTCATATTCTTATATATTGCTATATCTCGACATGTACATACATATCTATATTGATATATAGTATATATATATATATAACGATGATTATTCTTTATTATTCCCTATCGGTTGATTACTACATTTCAGTATATGCTACCCCGCACCTCCCTCCCCTCCGTTATCCGTGCTTCGTGTGGTTGCAAGCCTATTAATTAGCTCGCTTGACGGGCCGTCGGCCTAAAAAGAAAAAGAAGTGGAAGACCATGCTAGGTTGCAATTAGGGGTTAGTTGTATTCATGGAATGAAAACGGCTTGTAACTTGAACATGCCTTCATTCACTACACGACTGGAATGCTCAGGATTATACTTTTTACGAATTAGATATTAGGTGCCCCAAGTTTGGAATGTAACTATCTGAGTTGGCCAACTATCATTCTTGACCGGCCAGAAATATGGGGAAGATAAGCAAAGAGAGCTCTGCAACTTCCTTCATATAGGCAGCTTTATTCAGAAAAACGGACTTTATTTTCACCTGGGAAAAATGTGACTAAATGTTGCTCTTTGTGCATTCTATTCGTTCACATATTGCATGTGCTGTGTGCATTAGAAGCCCTTGTTATTGTCATCACTCAATAAACCTGATGCAAGTTCCAATTATTCGGACACGTTGATAAACATGCTTGGAGTCACATAATATAGTTATCAAGTCATGCGAGAAGTGTTTCAGTTGCAGGGAATGCTAGAAGAGACAGACAGCGACTGGGACAACCGATGCGCCAACAAAATTGACTATTGCAATTGGGTTACCGTCTATTTTGTAACCAGGGCTAGTTGTACTCATTGAAGTACAAGAACGAAGGCTTGCATCTCTTGCAGACAATCTCATTCGATCAACATGAATAGAACAAACCTTTTCGGACTATGCCCGCCCTAATCAAGAAATAGACGTTGCCCCCCCACCCCCCCCCCCCCCAATTAAAGATGTCAACTTTTGAACTGGTTTGGTCAGTACAACTGGAGGTCACTTTCAATTCTTGGCAACTACTTGAAAGGTCGGGGATTACTACCGCTACTACTCAAGAATTAGATCTTGGTCGCCCCCTCGACTTCAAAATTGCAACATTTGAGCTGGGTTGGTCAGTGTAGTTAGAGGTCACCTGTAATTCTGAAATACTTCTTAACTTGTCGGGAATGCTTTGGCAGCCTCACCCCAGGTTAAACATGCAAACGATTCGGACAGGTTGATGAACACATTTGGAGGTCAACTATCATGTTTCAAACTCATACTGCTTGAATGGCTGGGAATTCTAGAAGACCTGGGACAACCGATGTGACTGTCATAGGCATAATCGCGAGTTGTTGTGTGTTGCAATTAGGGCTAGTTACATTCGTTGAATAACAATCATGACCAGGCTTAAGCTACATTCGTTGAACTACAACTACAACAGCAATTCCGTTCCGAGCACCGAAGCTCACTTGACCGATCGGTTGCCCAATAGCTGTCCTTTAACGTAAATGAATTTCGGACGGGCATTCGAAACTTCGAAACAGTCGCAGGTACGAATCGGTACAATGGTAATTCCAAGCCGGTACAAGTCGTACTGGCTCATTTTTACAACATCCAAGATTGCAGGGAAGTCTTCGAGGCAAATCTTGGAAACACGAGCTGAGCTCGTGTTTCCAAGATTCGTCCGGAAGACCTTCCCGCAATCTTGGATCTTGGATCTTGGAAACATTAGCCGGTAGCACTTGTACGCCGGTCCATGTATCAGAAAACATATAGATGATGTGAGACAATACGGATAATATCACATGAACAAAATCAGAGAACGAAGCACCAGCAAACAACAGAAAGAAGCCGAAACAAGCAAAACGAGTGAGGATAGCTGGGGAGAATACCAACTGTATATATATATATATATACATATATGTATGTATCTATGCTCATATATATACATATATTTCTATATTTATTTCATTATATTTGTTTGTTTATACTGTCATTTCTTACTACCATATAGTACTATTATAGCAGATTCGTTGTGACTATATAGTCTCTGTATCTATATATATATATATATATATGTACACATGCTTTATATATACCATGTTTTCTGCCGACATGTTAACACATGTTAACATGAAGTCTGCGCCTGGCGACCACGGCGATGCGCGCGACATGGAACTCTGCGTTCTTTGTGCTGAGATCATAGCAAATGAAGCCGCAAAAACGCTTCGGCTCAGACTCTACGTCCACCAACAGGGACAGAGTCCAGCCTCGCGTGGCAGTTCATTGCAAGACTGGGTTGGAGATTATGAACTATGACATGCAGTGCTGGCAGCGTGCTGGTTCGGATGCCTCTGTCTGCGGCTTTCTGGACGCTATCCTCGCCAAAGAAAGCCTCCTTTGACAGAGTACGGACCTCCTGCAACATGGCTGTGATCTCTTCGTCAGCTTCTTCGGGCCTGCCCATTCAACGCTGCGCAAGGACATGAAATGGATGGTGCACCAAAGTCAAAGAATGAAGGAGAGCCACTTGACATCATCCAACACCAGCAGGTCTTGCTTCAGAGGCTCCTGCGAAATACGAATTACCGCGCATCATTGCACCACAGCCGGCGATGATCACTCGCACTCAATTTGCAGCATCGGGTGGCACACGTCCTGCCACAGCCAGCCCGCAGCGTTGCGCCAGCAGACAGAACACATCGACTTCACGCAGTCGGTCTCCATCGTCTCCTACAACAAAACCAGACTGGAGGTAACGGTGGCGCCATGGCAGCTGTTCGATGCGCCTCTTCTGCTGCGATGACCACAGCTCCACGGAAGCCACGCAAAGCCTCGAGGCCATTCAGCACCGTAAACATTACAGAAAGGGAGGGAGAGAGAGAGAGAGAGAGATCCGTATATATGGTATATATATATATGAATATACACATATATATATATATGTGTAGAATTCTATATGTATGATCACATGCACAGACAGACAAATTTCAATCATTTCAACTAAAGAAAGATGGTACAAAGCTAATGCAGACAAACGCAAGTACATGCATACTTTCTATAACCAGCAACGACATTACATGTAACTATCCATTCGCCTCGGCTTCCTGCCGAGAAGCGTCTGGAACAAGCAGACCCGGATCGGGCCTCCTTCCCCCTAACCCAACCCTTAACCCCATGCCAAATTTTTTGACGCAACCCCCCCCCCCCCCCCCCCCGCCCTGTGGGACCCCCCCCAATCCCTTGGAGGAGCTGCAAACCGATGCCGTGGAGGGTCCCGCTTACCCCCCCCCCCACCCCCCCAACCCCCAAACCCCCCACCCCCCCCCCCCCCACCCCCCCCCCCGCCCCCCCCCACCCCACCCCCAACCCCCCCTCACCCCCCCCCCCCCACCCCCCCCCCCCCCCCCAACCCCCCCCCCACCCGGGCCGGCCCGGCTGCCGAGGCGGTGCGCGCAAGCGTTTACAATTAGCACTGAACAAGCTGGCTTGCCCGGGGAGGTCAGTTGGTGGATGTGACTCAATGATGGGTTACAACTCACTGAAAGAGCTGCCACAGAGCTTCCAGGACAAACCTTTGCAAGCAATCGCGCTGCCAAAGCGGCTTGCAAGACAAAGCTCCAGGACAGCTGACATATATATATATATATATATATATGTATATATCCATATATACATATATACCTGCAGCTTGAAGCAGTATTTGGGTGTGATCGAGAATGGGACTCCTATGTGACAAGGATGACCGTATTTTGGCGGGGGGACGCCTAGTTGGGGAAATTACCCGTCCTGGCCTCCAGGAGCTGCACGGAAACCTTCTCCCACTTGGGGCTGCCCTCCATCTCCAGCACCACCACCTGAGGCCTAAAGACGAGTCTCGCAGATATCCATTGGCTGTCAAGCCGCGCACACATGCACACGTACATAATGCTAAATTTGTAGATACATAGCATCTTAGGATAGCTTTTCTATATGCATGTATATTCATATACGTATGCATATAAGCGTTGATGAATGGCTCTTTCTCATCGAAAACCTTCGGAGGCGGCTCCGATGAAGACATACCTACTCATGCATATCACCGCATGTGAGGAGGGAGCAGGAGCTGCCGGCCTGCGCGCATTAAGCTCTTCGGCAGCTGCCAGGAAGCACTCTGCTTCCGAGGCCTCTTCACCGACCAAGTGGGCACCAAGGCGGGCCACATCTAGGGCCTCGTGGCGTTGCACCTCTCAGCGACAGAATGATTGAAACCCCCCCCAAAACCTAAACCCCCCCCGAACCTACCCGCAAATTGGCAGAGTGAGATGGCGCCTTGCCACCCTTCAGCGCCAGCTGTCCAAGCAGCAGCTGCAGGGCAACCCGGCCACCGGACCCCACGGCGGCCACTCGGCTCTCAAGCGTGAGCTTCAAGCCTTGGCAGCCCAGTCTATCAATCGTCGTGTTTTTCTTGTAGATCTTACATGGTCTCAGCTTTGAAACCTGGGAGCCCGGCCAGACACACGGTGAACACCAGCTGCGTCATGCAAGGAGCCGAAGGAGATCTCAAAAATCGGACGCTTCCGTGACTTGACGCCAGGAAGCTCTCGGGGCGGCTGCCACATCTCACAGGTGACTGTCATGCCAGACGGGCTTTGAGGTGAAATAAGAGCAAAACCAAGCCCGTCCACAGGCAATGTCTCTACCAGCACACGAAACAGCAGTGTCTCTCGCTTCCAGCAATAGCAATTTTCAAGTGTGATGAAAACGGTCGAGACAAGGAAGTGGAGCCGGCGGAAGTGGAAAACGACGATCCCGATTTTGGGACGAGACCTCCACCCGCTCTCTCTTTCAATATAGCCAGTTGGTTCAAGACCCGTGCAGGGCTTAAGCCAAGATGCCGCAGCAAAGGCCAAAGTCAGCTTGGCATCCCATGGAACTTGCAGATAAGGCGTGCTGGGAAGCTTTTGATGCTTTTTAAACTTAAACTTAAGCCCCTAAACCCCAAACAAAACCTCAACCCTAAACTACAGCCTGCAGCGCAGATGCGTCGAGCTTGCAGTGAGCATAGAGTCCTCGGCCTGTCGATGCGCGGGAGTGGAAAATCGCATCCCACGGCTGGACCCTAAGCCTTGCGGTGGGTGTGTAGGGAATGGGGGGCATGAGGTACCCGATATAATCCCTTAAGGGGTGTATGTAGGGCCCTAATTCCCTCATTCCCTGCTAACCAACAGCAAGTAAGTTGGGAATGCCCTGACAGATTGGATGTGCCTTTTTTCACCATGGGATCCCAACGTGGGTGCTACCCTGTGGGTTCGTATTTGGGAATTCCCCATAATACGAATCGGAGGAACCAATGACCCACCAAAAGGAGTGACCAGCCCAAAAATCTACTGGGCTTCCTGCCAAGGTGGACACACACCTTCTGCGGATGAGGGAGCTCCGGAGAACCTACCCAAGCAACACGAAGATTGGGGGAGACTCGATTATGGGAGTGTCCGACATCGGTGCTGAGGCAAGGGGCCTGCACACGCAGCTTCCGGATGGTGTTTCGGAGTTTTCCGAGTCTTCCTGGCAGCGCCGAGTCTTGAGGCCACCGCCTGACACCTTTTTCACGGACGGCCTCGTGTCTGAGTCTTTCTGCTTCCGCACACGTCCTTCATTGAATCGAGAACGAGGCATGGGGAAAAGGCCCAAACTGCAAGTCGAAGTGCTTCGGAAATACTTGGGAGTCCTAGGCTCGAGGCTTTCAGCATGTCTGGAGCCTCAGTTTCACAGGCTCCGGTGCTGCACTTCCAGCTTTTGACAACTCCTTCGGAGTTCCAGGTGCCCTGCCCTGCTAGCACGGCTGCGCTTTACCTGGGACCCGAGATGACAAGTTCAAGGAAGCCCAGAATCTTCCTGAGAACATAAAGCATGCGGCTAGTCAAGTCTTCGGACCCCACGATGGCTTGCAATTCCTGCGAGTGTACCAAAGGCCCCAGCACGACCCTCCGGAGCACTCAGCATGTAGCGCTCCAGGGCCAGACGCTGCGCCTTTGTTGCGAAGCCAAAAGCTGCCGGTACGTGCAGCCGCTCGGCCGCAGCGTTGTCTATGGACGCGCAAAACCGCCCCTTTGCTCAGTATGGGAAAGCTACGGCAAAGACGGACCCCAAACTTGTCAACACTCATGCGCACGCATTGCCTGCGTGAGGCGCTCCATGATGACCCGACGGCGCGCGGGTGGGTCGAGCTGCTTCAGCAGGGCCTCTGGCAATCTGCAGGCGGCTGCACTCCAGAATCCCAGCGCTTGCATTCTACCATTCTGTCTACGGCACTAGACGAACTACAACAGAAGACGCACATGAGAGGTTGTTCAAGCTGAAAAGGCCCTCTGGAGCTTGTGACTGAGAAATCTTAGCGTCCTCGAAAGCTCAAGTCTCTGCTTTAGCATTGGTAGTATATATAACATCTCGTAGTTAAGACATAACGTTAAGACATAAGCATGTGTTATATAGATGTATATAAAATCAAGATACACTATGATAGGAAAAGATGATACACATAACATATTTAAAACAAAAGTGGGGTAAGGAAGGGGCCACGGTCGGTCTGAAACTCTAATGCTGCTTTCTGTCACTGCATTCGTGACTGGCACGCCCAGGCCTGCAACTGCAGAAGAAAATGCCGCTCCTGGAGTTCACTCGGCTTGGGGAGTAGCAGAATTGTGCTGAAGGCCAACATCTTGGAACCTTAACCATAAAACAAAGTTAAAGGAACCTCACGAAAGCTGAATCTCACGCCCAGCCTTTCGAAGGACGTTCTGAGGACTACTTGTGGGAAAGGTACCATTGTTCTTTCTCACTGCTTCCACAGAAGTCGGGCACACGGCCGCTTCAGAAAGCAGCCTTCCTGGAGCTGCATCTGCGAGAAGATTAACAGAAGGAAGCACATCCAGCATGTGCAGCTAAGTCATATTGTGGCCCTGTCAGGCAAGCAAGAAACGACTAATCACCAAAGCACGCCCATTCTCGTCAATCCTGCAAATCCACGGTAGCCTGTGTTTTGAGCAGGGCACTTCCCTCGTTTTAGTTGCACGAGTTCACTGAGGTCTGAGGGGTGATATGAATCTACGTGCCTTTCCTGTCACGCTGCGCATTGCTTGATTTTGCCGGCGTCGCACATGCCACTGGGTTTGTCTGTTCACTTGCGCCCTGGTTCGCTGGTTCAGTCACATGCGAACGTGCTTTTGCTATCAGTCCTTCCCGTTCCTTCCAGGGGCTTTTGCCGCCCAGAGCCCATACCCTAAAAAGTCGAGGGCTTGTAGTCATGCTGCAACCGATCAAGCGCAAGTGAAACAATAGTGACAGGAAACATCAGCAAAGAAGAATGACATTTTGCATGTGAGCACTGGAACAGTAGCTAGAAGCGGCGCGCGTACCTCCAGATCTTGCGTGCTCGTTCGTCTGCGGGTTGGAAGTTATTGGAAACAAAGGCCACGTAATGACAAGATGCATTCATGCTTTGCTCAGGCTTCGTATGTGATAGTGCCTACGTCTGTAGCAAAAGGCCTCTTAGGTGCATGCGCAATGATTCTGGTCAAGCCTAAGCCCTACATGCTAAAGCCCAAGCCCCCCCCCCCCCCACCCATCACCCCTCCTTTCTGGGGATCGATGGCATTTGAGAGCACGCTTTGCCGAGGTACCTCAGCGCATCGCGTATGACAGACACGTTGTGGATGGCGCGCCTCCCACCCACCATAGCAATTCAGCCCCTAAACCCTAAACCCTAAACCCTAAACCCTAAACCCTAAACCCTAAACCCTAAACCCTAAACCCTAAACCCTAAACCCTAAACCCTAAACCCTAAACCCTAAACCCTAACCCTAAACCCTAAACCCTAAACCCTAAGCCCGAAGCCCGAAGCCCTAAGCCCTAAGCCCTAAGCCCTACGCCCTAAGCCCTACGCCCTAAGCCCTAAACCCTACCCGAAATCAGCTCAATACTGTGGCAAGCGACATTACCGCCGCCGCCACTCGATCCGCTTCCGCCGGTTCCGCCGTTCCTGGCAATTGCGACAACGTCAATCTGAACCCGTGAGACAAGTCTGAGACAAGGCTTGCCCACGGCCCACGGCTGTTTGGAGAGCCCGATCCCGACTGCACATTCGAATATTATCCGAGGCCGTGTACCAGGATGGGCTATTATACCCTATAATCCTTTCAAAGGCCCTTTATAGGGTTCATTGTGGGGATTTTAAGGCCTAATAGCCCATCCTGGTAATTGCAAAACGCATTATTATTCAGAGGTGACATCGTCGTGCAGTGCAGTGAGGCTCTGAGGAACTGGCCTGCTGGGTCCGCACAACCTGGCAAAATAAATTTGGAGACCGCCTTTTGGCAACCAGCCCAGACTCGTACCCCTAAACCCTAAACCCTAAAACCCTAAAACCCAAAACCCCAATACCCTAAACAGCTTTCAAGGCTGCCGGGCTTGCTGGAGAGCGCGGCGAGAGTGAAGAGAGCGGAGCACTTAGCGTCAAGGCAAACATCGAGTCCATGATGACCTCACTTTGGGCGACATGTGGAGGCTTGTTTAGGGTTTAGGGTTTAGGGTTTAGGGTTTAGGGTTTAGGGTTTAGGGTTTAGGGTTTAGGGTAGGGTTCACCACACTCCACGTTATGCGCTTCTGCAACGGCCACGCAATGCCCGTTGATCCAAAGTTCTCCAAGGCAGCAGCAAGGTCGAAGCCCGAACGTGGGCTGAAGGACAGGAAGTCTTATGCTCACTGTGAGCCAGGTTCAGGCGCGTGCACCATCATGCAACATTCTTGAGCGCACGTATCGTCTAGACACATTTTATTCACGATCCCTTCCACAGGCTTCCACACACACAACCCAGCCGTCATTTCCCGACATTAAACCTCCTAGACCTTCACCTTGCCACAACATGTGAGGCTCACCTGGTTCCCGCACCTCTCGGCCAGCCTGTGGTTTAGGGTTTAGGGTTAGATGTTCACATGATGCAAGAAGACATGCTCTTGGACGCCCAGCGTTGCTGAAGTCCAGGTCTGTGGTCGGTGAGACAGGTACAAACCAGCAAATTCTAAAGAACTCTGTTTAAGGTTTAGGGTTTAGGGTTGAAGGGGTCAGCTTCTTGAAAGTTGTTGCACCCGAAAACATGCTATGTCACACAGAATGCAGGACTTCGGGTCCCTTGACCACAGAATCCAGCGTGCTAAAAAGACGAAGCGGCAAATTTCACAAGGGGTCACAGAACACTGGCGCCAACATGCACAGCAATCGTCCAGGGGCTGGAGATTGAGAACTCTGGTGCACCAACTTCAGAACACCGGCTGCGTCTGCTCTGAGTGCTGTCCGGCCATGGAGTTCTCAATTCTAGACTCCAAAGCCCAAGGTGCTGATATGTAGCGAGACACGTGGTCCAAGCTCAGAGCGACTTGATCTTCGGGAAAAGCTCTAGACCTTCCATCAAAGCGACACAGAGCAGCCCAAATCTGGCACCACAAGCCGAATGAAAGAAAGACTCCGCACAGACTGAGCAGGAATGGGTACCAGGGATACAATGCAACCATGCAGATTAAAGTGCAACCCCACAAATATGACATTTGCCTTGCGCACGTTCCCGCAACGAAGCGCGGTTTAGCACTTTCACGGCGGCAGTCTATTGTTAAACGCCCGAAGGCTGGCTGTGGAGATTTCACTAACAACAGCTTGGATGGCATTTCATTGTTGCGACGTTATCTTTCAGCTGTCGGCTGCGCTTCATGATCCCTACGTCAGCATTGATCTTGGGGTCTCTGTTTAAGGAGGACTTGAGACTGAGATTTATTGAGGCCTGAAGCGACATAAGCTCAGCACGGCCACGCCTAAAGAAACTGCAAAGCGCGTATTGTGTGGACGATGCCATAACGAAATTAAGCACTTGAGGGCTGCTTTAAAGCCTTGGAGGGTTTAACTAGTGATTTACCTTAGGGGTTTAGGGCTGCCCTTTCACTAGCACGTGCTGAATGCAAGGCAAATGCAGCTCTGGTCAGCTGCAGTGCCTCGCGGAATACGGCTGCGCCGTCGCGCAGCGAAGCCCAGGAGGAAGATACCTGCATTCACTCTCCTCTGCGTTGGCTCTTGTAGGGGTTCCACTAAACCCTAAACCCTAAAGCCTAAACCCTAAACCCCAAACCCAGGTTTCAGGATGGGTTTAGGTAGCTTTTGAATGGCGGAAGCGACGGCTGCTGTCTAAGCCCACGGCCGAGAAGAATCTTCCTTGGCTCGATGTTTATGGACATGTGTGTGTATATATATATATTTATATCTATTCTTATTGTTATTATTATTATAACAATAATAACAATCATAAAAATCATCATCATCATCATCATCATAATAGTTGAAACAATCATACTAGTACGAATAATTATAGAAATATTATTAACAGTAAGAAGGGTCAGGGCCGCATGTAGCAAACAGCCCTTCTTCGGCATCTGGCAAGTTCGGCCTTTTGCCGAGGCTCGACAGGATGCAAACGAGGAAGAAGCCCACCACAAACACCACGACCTGCAGAAGGACATGACTGCAGAGTGGTTAGCGCTCACAGAAGATAACCTCCAGTAGTTTGCCTTGTAACAGTACACTTGGAGGCAGAGTTAGCATCACTCTGAGTTGCGGCGAAGCGGCCGCAATTCGGGGATACTGTGCAGAGGCTGTGCAGGGGGCATTTGCCAGCATGACAAGGTGCAGTGCCACGATTGTTGTCCTGCAGAACACACGCAAGGTGTACGCTACTGCTGCAACACAGTATACACCACAGAACCTGACGCTTATCCGACCACATAATCTGATAAAGCAACCACCCCCTCGTCATCGCTCGTGGCTCTGAAGCAGGGGCGGTCATTGGCACGCCGCTGAAGCCGAGCCGTCGCTGCAAGGAATGGCTGAAAGAGTGGATGCCCCGGAACGGCGGCGCAGGCCTCCATTGCATGAGGAAGGCCGGGCTCGTAAGAGGGTTCTGAGTTGGGATGTTCCCCCTTATCCTAACAGTCCTTAATAGGGATTATAGAACCCCTTCCCACCAGTTTCAATCCCCACTAAGGGCTGTTAGTGTTAGGAAGTTATGAGGGCCCCTGCCTGTCTCTGCCGAGCCGATGCCTCTCTCTGCCTCAGCGCCGAAGACTCAGGTACAGAACAGTCAACAACCCTGCTAACTGCTAACCCTAAACCTCCAAATTTCAAACCCCTAAGCTTCCTAAGCCAAGACAAGTTCCTGGACCCGAAACACAAAAACAAAGAGCCCCAAAACACAACCCAACACACGGCAGCTGGGTCTGGTGAACTGCTGAGCCGAGTGGCCATCCTCCAGGGGACTTCCACTTTGGGTGCAGTTGTGGGCTCAGATGGAAATGGGGGGGGGGGGGGTGGTCTTAAGGTCGACGTGGTTCAGCGGATTACAGGGAGATCTCTTGTTATGATATGGGTGGTTGTCAAAGTTATGATCCCTTTTGGAGTACCCTAAATATTAGGTGCCGTATTATAATAGGGATCCAAAAAGGGACAATGATTTCGACAACCACCCATATGTTAAGAACTTAGAATCAGGGCACAAGAACTAAGAACAGCATTTACTTCAGTTGCTTCAATAGAGGCCCCCTGCTCGGGCAATAAACTTCCTCAACGTGAGCCCAGTTTGGGGTTCAGGGTTGACCAGAAATTGGGCCTTGCAGTTGCACGACCTGAAGGGAAGGCATGCTTTCACTCCCCCACCTTGAGTAGCAAATCTTGTCCAGTTCCAACAACCTCATCTGATGAAGTCTGGAAACATGATCTGATGGCGCACCACACAAACACTCGGAAGGCAACGAGGGCCCTGCCTGGCTGTTGCCCAGCTTGCCACATCGGCAGAGCAAGATATCAGCCAGGAGCACTTCCCAGTAGACCTCTTCACGCCGAACCCTCTGCCCCGATTGCTGGCTTGCCATTTTTGCCATGGAAACTCATGAGAACACCCCGAGGGCCTCAAAGGTTTTGGCCTGCATCTCACTGAATTTCGTAATCAAACAGAACTTGATCCAATCGGTACCAATTTCCAGAACCACAAGCAGCAATAACCTTGGATTGCAGCATGCTTGACTACAACTCTCGAGACGATGTAGACAGCACAGCGCGTCCTCCCTCCACAGGCGAGCAGCCAAAATGAGATGTCAATAGTTGTGAACTTGCCCGAAGGTTCTGAGATGCTCCTCGGCCCGGGTATGCTGTTGGCCACATGGTACGATGGCATTAAGGCGCATCTCTTGCACAAACGAAGAGGCATGCATTTATTTTAGAGAGACCGAGCACCCACACTCTACGCTCTGACATGTAGACGCTAATTGCAACTGGGTGTCAATCTTGCTATGACAAACAAAATGTCCAGCATCACATAGAAGCGTTCCACGATATCGCTCGCAATGATTGGAAACAGGCTTTTCTCTTCGTAGCGTTTAAACACGGTAGACTTGATCTCCGCGAAGTTGTTCGTGACCTTTGCTGCTCACTCGGTCTACGGCAGCATGGCGCGGCGAAAGCTGACAGAAGCATCATGTCAATGCTGTCTTGCAGATTCTCCAAGTGGCAATGATGAGGTACACGGCGTTGCTGGAGGTATTGATAGCCACATTCAGCAGAATGACCCGCACCAGATGTATGGTGGCATGAACGAAGCCTTGTCATCTCGTCTGCCCCTATGGACTCGGAGCACACTTGCCCTTTGGGATGTTCCCCCTTTTCCTAACAGTCCTGAATGGGGATTTCAGTACCCCCTATTATCATCCCTCTTAAGGACTTCTTAGTATCAGGGGGAACATCCCAACTTGCCTTGCTTATGCGGCACCAGGGAGCAGTAAACCAGCGTCGCACCGTACTTGGACAGCAGGGAGTACCAAGGGTGTCGGATCGAGGCCAGCAAAAGGTCAAATAAGTCCACTCCGACAGAACGGAGCCAGCGCTCGAACATCTCCTTCAAAAACAACTTTGTCATCTTAGACTCCTGTGTTATATTGATATGCAACATAAACTTGTAGTTTATGTTGTTTCATCTCAGTAGATTAATATATTGTTATTGTAGTATATCTGTTTGCTCCGCGTGGGGGAGTTCTGGGCTAGGCAAGCTGGGAGCGCCCAACGACTGCCGCCAAGGATCCAGCATGTTGAAGAGGACATAGAGTTTCAGGAATGACTCTCCTTCTATATAGTGATACATCCTCAGTAGATTCGAACTGCGACTGAAGCGAACGCCAAGGATTTCCACGCCGTGAGCAGTGAACAGAGAGTGAAATAGGCAGGAATCCATGCGACGTCGAAGAACAGGAGCATCAACGTGACATTCCTCAGAACATGGCAGATTAGAACTCCTAAACCTTGCATGTTCAGGGTCATCCAGTCTTGCAACTGGAAAGGTGCAGAAGTGCAACAGGCCGTTGGTGCAAAGCCATGCATAGCCAAGCTTCAGGATCAACAAAGAGAGGCGGATGATATCACCTGCTGATATCAAAACTACGACTTGAAGCGGTCGGTATTCGAAGGCTCGGTGATCCCCAGGTTAACGTCCAAACTTTGTTCTTCTGTTGAAGCCTCTCGTGGTTTCACCTTGTTTGTTGGATGCCTGCGTATCTTTTGCATGTGTATATATGGGTTTACACGTTGCAAGGCGGTACGCAGAACAAGCGCATGGCCGTGAGAATCGCAGTCCGCACAAAAGACAAAAGAGTGTTGGAATCTTCGCAAGTATTTCTCACATGCGGACATGGTGTCAAAGCCTGCAAAGCAAAGGGAAACAACAATGATTTGAACTGGCATCGCGCCTTGCTCCGTGATGTTCAGCATGGATTTCTTGGAGCCATGGTTAAGCAAAGCCTCAGCACATGTTTGCCTGACTTCTGGCAAGCACGAGCTTGCGCAAGCAATGCATGTGCCAGCAGCTAGAAGTTCATCCCAGGCACAGCTGGTGGACGATCCTGAATGCCTGACAGCCCAGCAGGTGCAGCTGATTTGTGGTGTGGTCTGTTGAGTCTATGGACGTTTGGACTCCTTCATGTATGCGACACAAGAGCTCTGTGTAAACCTTTCCTGAAAATTGATGGAAGAAGCATGCCGAGAAGCCTACGACCTCTTCAGAATTCAGGCTTTCAGGGCAGCCTGAAACAACCGCGTGCAGGCACGCCTCCCCGATGGTCCCAACAGCCCCACTGCCGCACTCCGAGCAGCAGCTGCGCGCACGAGCGGACCGCCTGCCGAGCATTCCGCGTCAGTGTGCTGTAAATGCTCAGGAAACTGTCCCGATGGTTAAGAGAATTTAAGAGATGTTCGAAGATAAGTCAAAGTTAACAACTTGAGGGTAACATGCACACCCTTGCATGCGCTGCAGATTTACCGCAACTACGAAGCGCCGACGGCCTGTAGCGGGGTGAAGCTCAGCTCATGCAATAAGATGTCCAGACACAGCAGGAACCCCAGCAGCAGCAGCTTCCTTGGCAGCAGGCAATCAGACATCACCCATCACCCCGCGTCTACCCCAATTCACTTTTCGGTCAGGATCGAGAAACTTGCTGTAACAGGCAGACCAGACGTGACTAGACCTTGTAACCCCTGAACCAAGCAAGTCAGGTAAAGGTTGTGCGTGCCGAGCGCGGGTGCCTCCAAGTGCCTTCGCTCCCCCTCCCCACCTTGCCCCACTGGGCCCCCAGACTTTCTCCCCCTGCTATTTTTCGGGTTGGGGTTAGGGTTTGGGGCGCTTCCCCCATGTAGGGATGCTTCGCTCCTTCTCCAGACCCCCCCTTGCCCCACCCTTGTCTTTGGCTCCACCTGCCCTACGTTGACACCCTTGCCCCTCCCATGATTGCCTTACTTGCCCACTTGCCCTGAAGGCTTTTAGGGGTTCAGGGCTTCCAGTTCCCGGGTTATGGTGCTTGCTGTAACAGATACTTAAATAGGCTCTTGAGTTCAGGGTTACCCTAAACCCTAAACCCTAAAACCTAAACCCTAAAACCCTAAACCCTAAAAGAGGTTCTTGGGCTTCGCCGGGTCTCTCCAATTGTCTGGGTACCTTGGCCACCTCCAGGAGATGATTTCGAGGGACGTAGGGCAACTGCTCCTGCGCGCAAAGAAAGCCGAGACAGAGAGAAAGGGTTTAGGGCTCAGGGTTTAGGGTTTAGGGTTTAAAGTTTAGGGTTCAGGGGAGCGGTGGAGGTAGAGACGTAATTATAATTCAGTGTGATGGTTGCGGAGGGCAACTTGAAGCGCCCCATTCCCCAGCCTCATCAGGGCGGCTGTTCAGCTCATCACAAAGCCAGGAGAAGAAGCTCGGCTCAGCCTCAGCAAAGGCAAGAGCTGTATTAAGACACTACCAGTGCGGAAGCAATAGGGCGTTCGGCGAACCGTAGCACGTATACGGCCACGTGGCAAATTGCCACTTGTTGTCGTAGTGCGTCCTCTCAACCGCTGTTGCAACAGACTTGGCCGCAACGGTGGCAGCAGCAGCTGCGGTGCAAACATCATGTACTCGAGCTTGGCAGCCTTGGACAACTCTTAAACGGAGCAATTTTTCCGAAACATCCCAAACTGGTCCCCTGATACGCTCCGACCTGTTAATGCCGGGCAACCCGCGTCTGCCAGCTCCGGCCTGCGCGGAATGCTCTTGAGCAAACAACATGACAGGCAATCAAGGAAGGAGTCCTGAATTCTACTGAGTCTACTAGTAAAGAGGTAGGTTCAGGTACCGCAAGATGCCCCAAACCCCCACCCTATCAGCAAAACACGCGGCGTCCTTGGCTCCGATGATGTCCGTCGCGCGACCCAGGGCTCGATCTCGGAGAGCTCGGAGAAGGGCTCGGAGCCGTGGCGCTCGCGCACCGGGCTCTGCGCGCGGCTGCGGGCACCAGCACCCACGGAGCTCCGGGGTGAGACCACGGCCTTCTGGTTTAGGGTTTAGGGTTTAGGGTTCATGGTGCCAAAGGGAGGGTGTCTTTGTTGGGGTTGGTTTCTGGCCCTTATCAAAGGGCAAGGTTAAGGTTCAAAGGACTAGGACAACACTTCGCCAGCGAAGTTCGATGCCGAGATGAATGGAACTTTTGCCCTGCTCTTCTTCGCTCGCGGCACTCTTTGTCTAGCATCTTGCATCTTGCTGTTTCGCCTCAACATGATCATGTCGAGACCTACCCCAGCACTGACGCGCTACAGAGGCCTACATCCAAAAAGGAAAAGATTTTCAAAGGAATGGAAGCCAGTATAGGGCGGATCCATGACATTCCCTGCTATGAACCGGAGCTTCTGAGCAAAGGTGCTGGGAGACCCAAACTGGACTCGCCGTCACCGCCGGAAAAAGGTCTCTCCCGATCGGGGTCCAGGCACGCAAGGCTTGCCTCCAAGAGATGCGGCTAGCAGAGAATGATCAGGGTTTAGGGTTTAGGGTTTAGAGTTTAGGGTTTATGAGGCTTTAGGGTTTAGAGTTTAGGGGAATAGGATACAGTTATAGGATAGAGCTGGAGATGACAGTAGAGAATCGATCAGAGAAGAACAATATCCTCCAAGCCGCAAACTCGAAAGCTCTCCCCCTAAACCCTAAACCCTAAACCCTAAAACCTCACTCGCCTGGGCGAACTGCGGGTTGGAGACCCAGACAGGTCGCACTCCAGCAGGGCTGCGCCTCGGTCACAACGAGCACAGGCCACAACCCAAAGCTTGAATAGGTTTAGGGTTTAGGGTTTAGGGTTTAGGGTTTAGGGTTTAGGGTTTAGGGTTTAGGGTTTAGGGTTAGGGCTTAGGGTTTCCAACTCTCAACCTTTGGAGACGACCGGCCAGGGGGGGGGGGGTGTTGAGACAAGAATGTCAATGGCGAAATGGTGTCGTCGGATCCAAAGGTTACAACTCGGGTCGACAGCAAACCTTCAACCCTTGACCCCAAGCCAAAAAATCCAAGATTGCGTCAAGTGGCCCGCTGAAGTTGGCTAACTCGTCAGCACTTGGAAGCATAAAGTTGCTGTTGATGCTCATGTAGAGTGGGCCTTGGTATGAAAAGCCCACTTCTGATTTACAAAAGTGCTTGTAAGGGTTCTTTAGGGCTTTGTCCGTCAGACTTTGGGGGGTTGTATGGGGGGTTGTTTATGCACCTTTGGTCAGGAAAACGTAGAAACGCAACATACTTACAAGTCAGCAGCTCCGTGTGTTCGAGGCCTTTGCCCTATGCAACACAGAGGCACCGCAAGACTGACCTATAGGGTGAAGGGTTATAGGGCTATGGGCTTAGGGTTTAGGGCTGTTTGGGGGACGCCAAGCTTCTCTTGCTCCCGTCGCATCGTCCACTTCCATCCTGCGCTTGCATGAATGCCAAACCCTAAACCCTAAACCCTAAACCCGAAAAGCTGAGTCGTGAATCGTGCCCATGATGCGCTCTCACTCCGCCATAGCTGGCCGGATGACATTTCTGTGTTGTTCTGCTTGTGGGCTGGGGGATTCCGTTCCAAGCTCATCAAAAACAATCCACAATATATGATGAGTAAAAAACCTATATATGTACCTACAAGATACTATGCAAGGATTCAAATTAAAAGGGGATCTGGGGCATCGGAAGGTCATCTCTCCTCAAAAATCGCATCGCTCAAGCCGCAGGGTCTCGGGACACTCCCTGGCACCTGGGCAAAGTGACTTGGAATGTCGAGGGCCACAGAAAGGCATGAAGCTGAAGGGTTGAGGGTTTATAGCTCCGGGAGATATCAACAGCCATCAGAAAAGGCCTTCATTTTCAACATGCTAAGGCCAGGGCATCTTTCGCGGATCCACGCGGAGGGCTGCGGCCGCGACCTGTGAGGGCTTCAGCAGATTTGGGGGTTTACGAAATTAGGGGCACCCTATCGGGGTCCTGGGAACCCTACTCTTTGGGGGACTCTTTCTTGGGGGTCCTGTAGTTTTGTAAACCCCCATTTAGGCCAAGATGAGGATTCCGATCCTTGGAATCCACTCTCCCCCAAGGCAGCCGTTGCCATGGCGTGGCCATCAAGCTTCGATGGGCAAGTTCAATGACGGTGTCCTACCTTTTTGGTGAGTTCAAGATGTGCTTTTGGAGGTTCCTTACATGTCAGGCATTCAGGCACGTGTCATACAAAAAAAGGCACTATAGCCATTAGGTTGGTTCAACCTCTGGGATAGAGAATGCATGACGCCCTTTCATTTCTGCCGCATCCGAAAGCGCGCAGCTCCGAGGCACACCTCTGTCTGAGAGGCGCTGAGGAAATATCTGCGACGGAGAGCCAGGTGTGATATTCGTCACGTGCCGAAAGCGCGCAAGGAAAGTGACTTGTACAGCGCACTGTCCATGCCATCTTTGAAGCTGTATAAGGGCTTGTCTTTTGCCACCGCATACGTCAATATGCCAAACCTAAAAAGGGGCCAATGGAGCAGCTCAAGTCAGCGAGGGGTGCTTTGCCGCCTCAGGATGACAAAAGCAGAAGGCAGATGATGAGAGTCCACTGCACGCATTATGATTATTAGTATTACTATTTTGATTATTATTATTACTGTTATTATGAATACTATTTTTGTTGTTATTGTTACTGCGATTCTGCTATTATTACTACTACTGTTATTACTATGATTACTAATGAACATTTTTGTTATTATTGTTACTACGATTGTTCTATTTTTAATACTACGGTTATTACTACTGCTATTACCATTATTATTATTATTATGATTATTATTATTATTGTTATTACTACTACTCCAGCCCATGTCAATGCATCCAGGCAGCTTCGGGGCTTTTCGATGTGAGAAGTTCATGCGACTGGTGCCAAAAGCTGCGTCTGCAAACGCTCCAAGCGGGTGGACACCGAGTTGTCGAGCACTGCCTGCCCGTTGTACTTCAACGCCAGAGCGGCCCCTCAGGGGCAAAAACCCACGATGAAACCCTCTGCTTGCCTCGCCCATCTTCACGACCAGACCTCCAAGCCTTCGGCTCGCGACACATCGCTTGGACTTCGGGTTTGAAGGTTCTTAAGGCGTTCAAGGGCTTGTTTAGGGGGTTTAAGCCTTGAGGGGTGAGGGGTTGAGCATTCAGGTTTTCGGGGCCATGGTCAGGTCGCCTTCGGCCTCTACGCGAGTCTCAGCATGCTGGGTGTTGGTAGCTACAACGGAGTCTCGGACGCCCGCATGACATCAACTTAGGTGTAGGAGGTTTCAGAGGCCTAAGCCCCAAGCCCTAAAACCCCAACTTGGAGAATCTTGGATATACCAAAGAGTCAACTTCAAGAGGGAAGTCCTGCTTAGCGGCGCGTGACGCTGTGTGTGTGTGCTGAACTCTGGGAGTCATGCACTGCACACTCCAAGGCGCGAGCAGAGCGGGGTTGGTGTTATACTCCATGATCAGCTGCGAACCTAGCTTTTCAGCCCAAATGCCCAGTTTAGGGTTTAGGGTTTATGGGGTTTATAGGGTTTAGGGTTTAGGGGTGCTCCAGGTTCTGGCTCCTGCTATATTCCGATTCCGGTGGGGAAACAAAGCCGGACTCTCTGACATATATGGAAGGACCTCACGGATACGATCCCTCCCCTACAAACGGCGCCGGGCCTAATGTACAAACGTACACCTAGAATTTGGAGGGTGTAATATTCGGAGAGAAGGTCTCAGGCACGCCGAGTGCGCACGACATGTAATGTAGCACACTCATCTTGGTACGCGGTACGTCGCGTGGAAGATGGTGCCGGCCAGGGAAAATTCTGGGGCAACGAAGAGGCTGTGGACTTCATTGAGGCCTCTGCCCTCAGCCCGCTTCTGCATAGCTGCCTTTACCTGCCAGCAACAGTCGTGTCATCCGGATGTTTTTTGCTTTTTTTGCAACATGATGTCTTGCAAAGTGCCCTGCCTGACTTTTCTGGGCATCAGACAGGGCAGCTGCGGAGGTCACCTGGCGTGGGCGAAGCAAACGTGTGGCATTTACTCTGCCAGGTTGCATTCGGCGACGTTGGCCCTTCAACTTGGCGGCAAATCACAGGAACTCAGACGCCAACGAAGTGATCTGCACTGGCCCCCTACCTTGCAAAGCACCAAGTTCTTCTCCGCGCGGTAGAAATTCTGGACAAACACGGCAAGTTGCGGCTCGGCAACTGCACTCGCTGGAGAGCCGTACCATGCCGCACCTCAAAGATGTCGATCATGCGGGAGAGCAGGTGGGCCCGCTTGTTCTCCACCAAGACCTAATCCACACAACTCTCCATATCGCCACCGCGTATGGGATGCGTCTTCCCACGGATTGCTGTCCGAGGGGGTCGTACTTCTTCCGAAATGGCGCAACAGTACCACACCTTCCATCCTAGAGGTCCAACACAAGCTCCTGAAACTCCTTTAGCCTAAACCTGGGTTTCGGTTCAGGAACTACAGGGTTTAGGGTTAGTAGGGCTAGGCTACACGTGTGCCACCGTCTAGGGATATTATAGCAAAAACACGCAGCAAGATGGGACCTTCAGGAAGTTCAACACCGATCCGTCGATCCCCGCTTTCGTGCAGACGGCCTCAAAGGCGGCCACCTGCGCTGCGTCTTTCGGGCACCCGGGGAGCAAGGGGGGGAGAGGGGGAAGTTCCCCCCCCCCCCCCCAATGAGGGTGCCTTTTTTGGGGATACCCTTTTCAGAATTCGGGACATGAGATTTGGGCACCTGGAAAGGGACTACATGGAGAGTTGCCCAAAGATGTACTCTCGTGCATTCGCAGAACGGTTTCAAGTGCTTAAGGGCGTTGTTAGGGCGCTTAGGAGGCTCCTTGCTCTCCGGCTCAATCCCGGGAGTCTCAATCGCCAGCTTGAACTCCTTCAGGGGGGTTTAGGGTTTAGGGGAGCTGTATTGTACGTCCCGAAGCGCTTCTAATGGGAGGGTCACTTGTCTTCAGAAGGACAGGTCATTGCCGCTCTTCTGTCCTGGGACGAGGCCATCATCTCCCGCAACCCCTGCAAGTCAGCGTAGACCTGTGCCGGAGTGCTGATCTGGGTCTGGGACGCCCGAGGATGGCCGATGATGTATAAGCATTTTTTTGGAAAACCATCACTGTGCTTACAAAGTCTCTGAGACAAAGGGTCAGACTTATAGACTGCTTCAGACGGACTTGTCCCAAAATGGGGCCATACTCAATATGCTATTTCATTCTGACTGTTGAAAATATAGCCATGGGCCCTGCCCAAACAGGGCATCCCTAATTTCGGACAGGTTTTCTGGCCCAAGGCCCCCCCAGCAACCGTCAGGCAAAAGAAAACAAAAAACTGAGCCCTGAACCCCTGAACCCCTGAACCCCTGAACCCCTAAAGCCCTGAACAACTCTGACCACCTGAACCGCTTGAACCACCTGAACCACCTGAACCACCTGAACCCTGAACCCTCCTTGTCCAACTTGTCCATGGAAGCCATGAAGAGGGCCGTTGCGTAGCGGCCCTCCAGAGTGCCATCCTGGTCGCTGAAGAGGCTTCTATGGGGTTTAGGGTTTAGGGTTTAGGGTTTAGGGTTTGGGGTTTGGGGTGATAGGGCCTTTCTGCGGCGTTTGGGGTGTTTAGGGTTGAGGGTTGGGGTTTAGTGGGGCTGTTAAGCGGCTTACAGGCTTGTATGGGGTGTTTGGAGGGTTTAGGGTTGACGATTTAGGGTTTAGGAGGGTGTTTTTTTGTACTGGCTTTTTATGGGGCTTGCGTGGCTCTTATAGGGTTGAAGGCTGTTACTGTATGGGGTTTCTATAGTTTTTAAAGGGTCTTAGGGGGTTTAGAGGGTTTAGTAGGGTTCAGGGTTTGACCCTAAAGCCTGACCAACCCGGCGGGGTCCTCCATTTTAGGCTTCTTGGCTGCTGCCTGAGGCACTTGTGGTCTCAGACAAAGCATGTGTGTGGTCATGAAAGGGTAGTGAACAGCATCGAAGCTTCTAAGCTTTAGGGTGGTGTGTCTACAATATACTCTATATATATATATATATACACTATTATATATATATATACATACTCTGTTCTGATTATATATATACTATATTATATACATACTATATATTAATATGTGTAGCGTAGGGCACTCTGAGTGTCTGGCGGCTGCAAAGCATCGCGATGCCAAAACTGAGGTGGCAGGCATGGCTGTGGGAGCGGCTGGCCGCGGTGCAGCCTCAGCTGGCTGAAATGAATGCGATTTTTTTTGTTGGAGGGGGGGGGGGGGTTTAGGGTTTAGGGTTTAGGGCTAGGTTTTAGGGTTTAGGGGCTAGCGGTTTACAGTAGGGGTTTAGGGTTGGCGGAGGGCGGGGAGGAGGACGTCTCATTCAGAGCTGCTCTCTGCATTGAGCGCCAGGCATGGCAAACGAGGCTTCGAGCAGCACGAGACCAAGTCCTGACAGCAAGGGCATGAAAGATGTGGGGGTTTACGAAAACAAGGGGCCCCCAATATACCAAATATTCAGGATTCAGGTTCTCTTAAAATAAGGACCCCCAGTATTAGGGTTCTCTTATAATAAGGGCCCCAAGTATTTAAGGCACCCCTGATTTTGGAAACCCTACTATCGACGCCAGGTTCCCTTATACTAAGGCCCCCATGTGAAAGGTGGTGCCTGGAGTTGTCTGGAACACTGTATGTCGCACTTGATCGCTTAACACCCTCGCGCTTAAAGCAGACCCGCGGCTCAGGGTTTAAGATGTTTAGGGTTTAGGTTATAAAGGCCAGTGGCCTCTTTATCTGTTACCCTGAAACCTTAATATCGCCCCTAAAAAACCTGAATAAGAAGCCCCTACAAAACAGAAACTCTGCTTAAAGAGGCCACCAAGCAATATAAGGTTTAGGGTTAGAGGTTTAGGGTTCAGGGTGGCAAGCTGAGGAGATGGACCTGGCTGCGTGGGGGAGCATGATGGACGATACCTTGGGAGCGGCTGCTATCCTTTGCGATGGAAACTCAGATTCGCCACAAGAATCCGCCACGGCATGGTCTGAGGTCGTGGCAGCTACGTCTTATGTAAAACTGTTTAATCAATGGACCTCCTTGCCATCTGGAGCCATACAGCTGAACAGAATGTCACTTTGCAGAATATGACATTATGATATAGGCACAAAAACATGTATCAATGCATCACAAAGAACACCTCCACATGATCAGGGGCTGTACGATACACAAAGCGGCCCTTTTCTCCAGGAAGCCCAGGCTGCGCGCCGATGCTTCTGCTGGCCCTGCTTGTGCTTGCGCCCTGCCACTAGAACTCTTCGCGAAGCTGTGGCAACCTGCGCGCCAGATTTGGGGGACTTAGGGTGCAGCAGTGCATTGATGGCGACCAAACCCTCCAAATCCAAATCCCTTAACCACAAGCCCAACTGCACCACCGAAACCTGAGTAGCAGTGACAGCTCGGCGTCGGCGCCGTGGCTTCACTGTCTCAAGTGCCTGCGAGCTCTCCGACTGAGTTACATACGCTTTCGTGGGTTGGTTTTGGTGTCGTGTCGGGTTTAGGATGGATTTAATTCAGGGTTCAGGCGTTGAGGTAAGATGAGGTAAGTGTTTAAGTCTAGGGTCTACTGAAGGGCAACAGCGAGGCAGCACTGTCAAAAAAAAGGAAAGCCCATTCTGTAGCGAGTGGCCTGCTGGGGCTCCGTCTGCAAGGCCACCTGCTCTATGTATCTGACCAAGTGGAAAACTTCCACAGTCTGCAAGGAAATTCGCTGGCTCAATTGGCGCAGGAACTGCTCAGGACCTGCCGCAACTGCGCTTGCAGGGGCTTGTCCATGGCTGCCGGAAGCTTGATTGCAGTCGGCACCTTAGTTGCTCTTGATGGCCCGTCTCACAGACATTCAGACAATCACCTCGCCAGGTTGTGCGCAAATTAACCGTTTATAAACGCAGAGTTCGAGGATGGTGATGAAGGTAGTTGTAGGTCAAATGGCCATGGCTCCGCGACATTCCTGACCTCTTTCTGCAACCAACAAATCCAGCCCCGAAGATGAGATCTGAGAAAGGCCCTGCAGACTAACCTTTCAGAGCCACAGGCTTCCAGACCGGGCGCCCAGAAATCTTCTGTGCAGGGCGCTCCCCAGCCACGCAGCCGATCCTGCCCGGCTTAGGCGCAAGTCCCTACAGTATATAGCCTTTATATAGCCCCTGGGCTCTACATGCCTCTACGCTCTAAAGGCTCTGAACCGCCCGGCGGTCGACCACTGAGCATGAAGCCCAGAACACAAGCAACGCATGATTCACTGGCAAAAACGAGGTCCTCTTCAGGCGCTCTGGCTGTGTGCAAGGAGGGCCCTCCGGCTGCGCGCAAGGAGCTTGAGCATGCCGCAACCGTACTCGTCGACAAGAAGATGGCCTCGACAGTCCCAACATGCATGATGTCTAGCGGTACTTAACATTCATGCAGCATTCTCCGGAGGAGTTCGTGTCACAGCTCTGCCCTGCTCTGCCGAAAGGCGTGTATACAAACTAGACTAGAGCACCCGAAACATTCTAAATCCCAAGCCTACTAACCCTGAACCCTAAGCCCTAGAAACATCGAGAAACCACAGGTCCTGTGAGTTGCAGGGTCTGTTGTCCGGAACATCCGGTGGCAGTGGAGCAAGGCCCATGGCAGCGAAGACTTTCCAAGAAACAGCCCTTTCGTGTCGGCATGCGCATCAGTGCTTTACTCAGCGTTGCTACAAGCAGCTGCTTGTGTTGATATATTTGGCCTCTTATGGCTGCTAAGCCCGTCAGGCGCAAAACGCTAAAAAAACTCCATACTGCATTGAATGTTGCCGTGTCGGTTTTGGATTTTTCTGTGCATCGAATGGCAAGAGCCATGGCCACACGTTTTGGGCTTGTCGGTTCTTGCAGTCGTGCGACTCAGGACGCTTTTGGACACCATTGAAGGCCCTAAGAACTTAACAAGCCGCAAGCCCATGTGGCTCACTGAACATGTCATCTGTGCCTTGGACCCAGTTCCCCACCGATGCAAGGGCTGACGACGAGCCCGCGGTTCTGAATTTCGCGTGTCGAACTTTCGCAACTCGCGAGTTCTTGCCCGTGTCCGGCTGATCTCAGTCCCGTCGCTGTCGCAGCATACCTCCGCACATTCGCACTTCCAACATCTTCCAACCCCTAACACATGCCGCCTGACTGATGGCTCTATACGACTCCAAGCAGAGTGCACTGTTCTAGAAACCGCGTCGCCAGGAGGCACAGCACTGGGTGTGTCTGTGTCTGTGTGGGTGCAGGTGTGGGTGTTTGCCAAGCTTCAGGCTGGAAGAGAGACTAATGTGGGTTCAGGCAGTCTCTCAGGCGAAGGTAGGCAAGATGCGACTGCCTAAATGCTTCTTTGGGTTCCGGAGCCAAACCCAGATCAACAAAGCAAGCCCCGTACCTCTGCTACTGTAGGTCGTAACAGCTATTTGCCTTATAATGTCTTGCTTCGCTTTGCTTGAACCCCGAACCAATCAGGATGGCGTCCTTGAGACTTGCCACCAACAAGGCTTCATCATTCCGCAGGCAGTAGTTCGCTTCAGGGCGTTTCGGGGGGTTGAAGGGGCTTGACGCCTAGGGCAGGGTTTCGAAGCATCGGGCTTTAGGATTCCAGGCTTCGGGCGTGGGTTGGGGGTGCTTGTTGCGGAAAGATCTTCATACAGCCATCACTGCAAGATGCAGGAAGCCTTAAGTACAGTACGCCTCCGGCATACCCTATTGCCGTCCGCGAACATCCCTACTAACAACGTCTAGACGATCCCCCCCCCCCCCCTCCCTCAAGCATTTCCTCTTGGAAATCAAGCCACCCGGAATGCCCTGCACTTCCCACCCACGTCCCTCCCTGGAGAGACGTGGCTTACTTCCAAGAGCTGCGTCGTTTCTCTTTGTCCCCCGGGTGACAAGATTGAATTTTCTGCATATATGTATATATATATATACTACTGGGGTTGGTAGTGTCCTATAGTAAAATATAGCGCGAGAATAGTACATTATCATAGACTTCGCTCAGGCATGGCGACGAGTACAAGACCCTAGCCACCCTGGTCGTGCACACGCACAACTCAGGATCCGAGGCTGATCGGCCGGCGGAAAACAAATATGCGAGAATGGCTCTTCCAAAGACAAGGAATCCTGAGCCCTGAACCCAGTACTACACCATATTACACCACAAGCCCTTGGACTGAACACAACTCACCACACACCTGCGCCCCAAGGACTCAAGTCTTTAACCCCACGGACCCCGAACCCTGTTTGAAGCATAGACAAAGCATGAGACCCCTACTCAGAACAGTACAACCTCTGAGGGCTTATAAAACAAACCTAGATATGCCTCATGCAACCCTGAACCGACGGAGGTGCTTTCTAGATACTTGTAGGGGGGGGGGGGTCTGCAAGGCATTTGGGGGGTGCGCAAGGCATTCTAATGCCTCGCGCCTCCCCAAGCAAGGGGCTGCCACAAGGCATCTTCTGGGAGTAGTGATCCGCGAAGACTATCGCAGAGGCCCCTTAATGAATGGAATATGCTCTTGAGATACATCAAAGTACGATGATCATTAGGGCGCCCCTAAGGCCATCTAAGGAACAGCAGGAACCGGCCTGGCGGTCGGTGATCTCGTCGTAAGCACTCTGGAGCTTCGCCTGCCAGTGAAGATACGACAATCTACTACAATACACTACACGAGAACATACTATATTGTAATAAAACTAACCTAGGATGCTATACTACATTGACATACTAATTGTACTATGCTAGCCTGTCCTATCCTATGCCCGTCCCATCCCGTACCACACCATACTATACTGTACCATGCTACACTGTGCCATAGCACGCTTGCAAAAAAAAACCGAAGAGCCACCCACCGACAACGACGACAAGGTTGCACCCTCATGACTGATGGCTCTACGAGTACAGTACACTGACGACATTGCATCGCCCAAAGTACCCCCGTACACCCCCGTGTCTCCATGCACCAGCAACTATACAAGCAACACTGTTGACACTCGAGCAACCTCATGCTGCGAGAACGACCTGCATATTCCAAGGACGCCGCCACCTCTGTGGGTTGGGATCGTCACGGCGACCCACCAGAACACTCAACCTCAGGCATCTCTTGCCCCGAGGTGCGAAGCTGCAGAATTGCTCCAAGCGGATTCTCGTGCACTGCCGTGACTCAGGGCGGTCCTTGCCATCTTGAGGGTTTCGGGAGACATCGACCCATGGAGCAGCAGCTCGGCCGCACCAACCGCAAAAGACCATCAGATTTGCCATGCCGAGCATTGCTGAGTCAAGTCAAGGTTTGCCCGGCTCTTGCGAGATTCTACGGCATTCTACGGAAATGAAGCAGGTCGCATCCAGCCCATTGCGCCGGAGCAGAGGGCACGAACGCAGCTTTAGTTCGTGCTGAGTGAAAGCCCAGCGAAAGCAATTTTAGAGACACATGAGACACCGAGCCTCAGCGAAGGCAATCTGTCCAGTTTCGGACTCAAAGCATCTTCGTCTAAGGCTCGAAAGACTTCGTCGTCGCTGGCTCACGTCGCTGGCTCACGGCTCTTCCGCAAACCAGTGTGGAGCTCGTGCATCTTCCTCTTCACACACCTCAGGGCACGATGCTGTGCGCACTTTCACTGGCAAGTAATCCTCCGAAGCGGCAGTGGTCCTTGCAAGGAGCACGGGCAGCGTGAGGCTGCGCGTAAGGCTTGCGCAGCCCGTCTCTAAGTCTTCCAAGTCTATGCCATCGCCAGCATCAGCTCCGATCTGGTCCGGATGCTGCATCTCTGGGACCACTGCTCGCATTGGGACAAGGCTGGCACTCAAGGACTTGAACATGGCCTGGGACGCGAAGCGCTTCACGTTGGCCACGTCGAACCTCCGGTGCTTGTGTCTGTGCAGAAAAGTCTTACTTGAGTCTTAATGTCTTGTTAAACTTGTTGGCTTTCGGGGAAAGCAAAGAAAAGAGAGCTGCAAAACTATTTGACTTCCAGAAATAAGCCCAGGGGCGGGAGCGGTGGGGCATCGGCCAAATCTCGCTCATGCTGTTGCTTGAGTGTCAGCCCGCGGCCGATGTTGCCCAGCTGCTGACACACCATCGGCGACATGTGATAGGCAGCTGCGGAGCCCGCCACCGACAGCAGCAGGGGGATCCAGGAGATCACGCCGGCGACGATCGCCGTCAGCATCCACGAGAGCGCCAAAATCGCAAGCAGCTTCCAGCAAACGGCTAATACAGGATGTTTTTTGTCTGTTGCGTGCTGATTTTGGGGGGTCTTCTTGGGCTTCTTCCAGAAAGGGCGATAGAAGATCCAAGACGCCACAGCTCCAACTGTGATGCTGGTGGCCAGAAGTCCACCCAGAGCCATGTTGGCTCGGTTCAGCCGGAAGGCACTGCCACTGGAAACGTAAAAGATGATGTCCGTCACCATGTCGCCTGTGCAAAACACGGCGATGAGCCAAGACAGCATGCTTGTGGACAGCAAGAACACCAGGAAGGCCCCATGATTTCGGGCGCCAACGCAGTTGCCAAGCCAATGGCAGTGGTGGTCGTAATCTTGCACGCAGTTGTCGCACTCCCGGCAATGAGAGCAGCCTCTCGGACGCCTGACGTCGCAGGTGCTGCATACCTTGAGATGCTTCAGGCGCGAATCCATCCGCACAGCATGCCAGAACTCTTCTGCTCGTTGCACTGCTTCCTGGGGAGGCCACTCGCCGGCCCCAAAGGAAGGAAGCTCATCCAAGCCTTGCAGCAAGTCCTCGCAAAGGGCAGAGGCTTGTTGCTCGACATCCTCCGGCTCGACACCTTCATTGGCTTTCTCCACGGCGGTTCTGAAGTACATCAGCAACACGTCTTTTGCGTACGTTCGCGAACTGGACGATAGAGATAGGGCAGCCAAGGCGGGCAGTCTTGGTAAGAAGCCTGGGTCCACGAGGCCGGCTCGTAGAAAGGAACCCAAGGAGATCACAAGAAGCGTGATACTCCCAACCTGCACATAAGCTGAGAACATGCCCAGCCGTGGTACCTCCAAAAGCCCGAAGGCCATCGACACCACCAGGATTGTTGGCAGCGTCGCCATGCTGGGCCACCAGGCCCCCGGAAGCAAGCATTGCCCATCGCAGCCAAGCCGATTTCGGCCCTGCCACAGCCTCCATAAGCGCATTGCTTCTACGATCCTTAAACAATGCTCAAGCCGTCTTTTGGCCTACGAGCCTATGAGCCTATGAGCTTCGGGCAAATATGGCAAGAGTCATGGCCACACGTACACTGGGCGTGCAGTGGCTTGCAGCGTCTCGGAATCGCATGCAAATCGCGCATCCGTCAAAGCCTGAACGGCTCTGCGCTCTGCTAGGCCCGAAAAAGTTTCAAGTTCCCCTATGCAAGGGCTGGCGACGAGCCCGCGGCTCTGACTTCTCGCGAGTCGACCTTTCGCAACTCGAGAGTTCTTGCGGGTGTCTGGTTGATCTCAGTCACGTCGCAGCATACCTCCGCACATTCGCACTTCCAACATCTTCCAACTCCGAGCATATGCAACCTCCGAAGGACTGGTGCCGCAACAACTACTTGCCTGGGCGCTCACAGGGTGCTTCTGCCAATTAATGCAAATCAGCACAAGCGCGCTTGCAGGTTTTTACGCAATGCGAGCCTGGAGGCCGCCAAGCTAACATCGGCTGCCACAGAAAAGCGGACAATTTGACCTCAAGAGCTTCTTGTTCTTGTTCTTGTTCTTCTTCTTCTTCTGGAGAAGCCCTCTCTCTCTCTCTCTCTCTCACGCCAATACTCGATGGTACCGAGCGCGAAGCTCGCGGAAATTGATCGGCAGCATCAGTAGCATCTGCTGCACATAACGTTGCAGGAAGAGGGCTCCAGCTGCCTTGACCAACGCACACCACGACCAGCACAAAAGGCCGAACGAATAGCAGCCGAAACAAAGCGTCCACGTCAGCTGCAGCATCAAGAGGACTGAGACCAGCCACGTCAGCCACGTCAGCCACGTCAGCCACTTGCGCACTCCGTGAGCAGCTCTAGCTTGCCTTTCTGAGACTGTGCGTCCACACCTCGAAAGTCGACTCGCAGGGCATATCACGGCTTCATTGGAAACTCGGTCTCTGATGCAACGGTCAGCCCATGTCAGCCTTCCTGTTGCTGGTCTAGAGTGGTTCGTCTGGCATGTAGCATCATGTAGCGCTGTCATGCAAGCACAAATTACCTTGAGCCAAAACAGCCAACCAGCAGCATGCCGTGCACTAGTAGTCACTAGTGGCAGCATCACTCAGCATCCTTTTCGGCTCGGGGTCTGGAAGCCAACAACGTCAAGAAGTGTACGTTGCACGCGCACGGTCGCCCTTTTTGTCAGCTCGGATCCGCGCTGCTCACCTCGCCGGCTGTGGGGGCAGGCTTCTGCTGGTACTTCCTGGGCACGGCATCTTGCCCATCGCTGTTTAAGCTCTACGCATGCAAAGCTTGCGAAGCTTCGCAACTCTCAAGCGTTCAAGCGCGCGACTGCCAAAGAATCACCGCAATGCGCATGAGCAGATAGATGATCATGAACAGCCTGTTGCGTCGGCAGAAGGCACATCTGATGTCGAAGTTCTTACGCCCCAAACCGGCAAAAGCCTCAAGCACGGGTAGGAGAAAAGAGACAAACGTCCTCAAACCATCTCAAAAGACAGGGACCAGTCAGGGACCAGTCAGGGACCAGTCCTGAAGTTGGCAGCGCATGCTGCCCCTGCTCATGAACTCATACTGACCTCTTATCTCTCTCTCTGCCTTGGCCGCTTCTCTTACAGTATGGCCTACAGTTGACAGCCCAAGCCCCACTCCAAAGCCGAGACACCTCGTGATTCTATCCGCGCCCCACGCCCCCTGGACCTTCACTGGCCCTCATGCCGAGACCAGATAGTCAGAGAGCAACGCAGAAGCAAGCCGGGACGGCAGCAGCCCGCGCAAGGCGCCCAAGGAAGACTCTGGCGCCTCCTCTTCAGGCCTAGGAGGCTTCAGAGGACTTTGGAGGCACTGCGAGTCTACGCGTTGATAGCGTTGCCGCATAGGTGCAGACACATGATGGCACATGCAGGCTGGACTACATAGTAGATTCTGTCTTGAGATATGTTTTGTCTCGGCCCGGCTGCTTGGACCTCCGCCGCCCCGCGCGCTTGAAAGGCAGATGTCCTGGCTCAATCTGGCTCAGGAAGCACATGGCAAGCACAACACTGCGGAACATTCCAAAACTACATGCAGCTTGTGCCAAGTGATCACGTCACGTCCTTGCTCAGAGTCTTGCTGACGTGCTCCACGGTGGCGCAGGCCAGGCATTACCACCTCACCACGAGCTCGTGACTCCACACGTGGCTGCGACATTGTGTATTCTACAGCTCCGTGTAGTCCCAGCTAAGTTGGATGCGCCCGTCTCAGGCTCAGAGTCAGTTGGCAGCCCAACCTGGGTGTTGCTTTGCCATTGCAAGAAAAGGCGCACGAGCCCACTAAAAGTTCACTCCCCCGTCTCAGCGACGCACCTCTGTACGCCAGCACCTACGAGTACATCGAACATCGTTCTGACACCCAACCAAACAATCGAGCGACTTCAGGTATTTCCAAGGACGCCGCCACCTCTGTGGGTTGGGATCGTCACGGCGACCCACCAGAACACTCAACCTCAGGCATCTCTTGCCCCGAGGTGCGAAGCTGCAGAATTGCTCCAAGCGGATTCTCGTGCACTGCCGTGACTCAGGGCGGTCCTTGCCATCTTGAGGGTTTCGGGAGACATCGACCCATGGAGCAGCAGCTCGGCCGCACCAACCGCAAAAGACCATCAGATTTGCCATGCCGAGCATTGCTGAGTCAAGTCAAGGTTTGCCCGGCTCTTGCGAGATTCTACGGCATTCTACGGAAATGAAGCAGGTCGCATCCAGCCCATTGCGCCGGAGCAGAGGGCACGAACGCAGCTTTAGTTCGTGCTGAGTGAAAGCCCAGCGAAAGCAATTTTAGAGACACATGAGACACCGAGCCTCAGCGAAGGCAATCTGTCCAGTTTCGGACTCAAAGCATCTTCGTCTAAGGCTCGAAAGACTTCGTCGTCGCTGGCTCACGTCGCTGGCTCACGGCTCTTCCGCAAACCAGTGTGGAGCTCGTGCATCTTCCTCTTCACACACCTCAGGGCACGATGCTGTGCGCACTTTCACTGGCAAGTAATCCTCCGAAGCGGCAGTGGTCCTTGCAAGGAGCACGGGCAGCGTGAGGCTGCGCGTAAGGCTTGCGCAGCCCGTCTCTAAGTCTTCCAAGTCTATGCCATCGCCAGCATCAGCTCCGATCTGGTCCGGATGCTGCATCTCTGGGACCACTGCTCGCATTGGGACAAGGCTGGCACTCAAGGACTTGAACATGGCCTGGGACGCGAAGCGCTTCACGTTGGCCACGTCGAACCTCCGGTGCTTGTGTCTGTGCAGAAAAGTCTTACTTGAGTCTTAATGTCTTGTTAAACTTGTTGGCTTTCGGGGAAAGCAAAGAAAAGAGAGCTGCAAAACTATTTGACTTCCAGAAATAAGCCCAGGGGCGGGAGCGGTGGGGCATCGGCCAAATCTCGCTCATGCTGTTGCTTGAGTGTCAGCCCGCGGCCGATGTTGCCCAGCTGCTGACACACCATCGGCGACATGTGATAGGCAGCTGCGGAGCCCGCCACCGACAGCAGCAGGGGGATCCAGGAGATCACGCCGGCGACGATCGCCGTCAGCATCCACGAGAGCGCCAAAATCGCAAGCAGCTTCCAGCAAACGGCTAATACAGGATGTTTTTTGTCTGTTGCGTGCTGATTTTGGGGGGTCTTCTTGGGCTTCTTCCAGAAAGGGCGAAAGAAGATCCAAGACGCCACAGCTCCAACTGTGATGCTGGTGGCCAGAAGTCCACCCAGAGCCATGTTGGCTCGGTTCAGCCGGAAGGCACTGCCACTGGAAACGTAAAAGATGATGTCCGTCACCATGTCGCCTGTGCAAAACACGGCGATGAGCCAAGACAGCATGCTTGTGGACAGCAAGAACACCAGGAAGGCCCCATGATTTCGGGCGCCAACGCAGTTGCCAAGCCAATGGCAGTGGTGGTCGTAATCTTGCACGCAGTTGTCGCACTCCCGGCAATGAGAGCAGCCTCTCGGACGCCTGACGTCGCAGGTGCTGCATACCTTGAGATGCTTCAGGCGCGAATCCATCCGCACAGCATGCCAGAACTCTTCTGCTCGTTGCACTGCTTCCTGGGGAGGCCACTCGCCGGCCCCAAAGGAAGGAAGCTCATCCAAGCCTTGCAGCAAGTCCTCGCAAAGGGCAGAGGCTTGTTGCTCGACATCCTCCGGCTCGACACCTTCATTGGCTTTCTCCACGGCGGTTCTGAAGTACATCAGCAACACGTCTTTTGCGTACGTTCGCGAACTGGACGATAGAGATAGGGCAGCCAAGGCGGGCAGTCTTGGTAAGAAGCCTGGGTCCACGAGGCCGGCTCGTAGAAAGGAACCCAAGGAGATCACAAGAAGCGTGATACTCCCAACCTGCACATAAGCTGAGAACATGCCCAGCCGTGGTACCTCCAAAAGCCCGAAGGCCATCGACACCACCAGGATTGTTGGCAGCGTCGCCATGCTGGGCCACCAGGCCCCCGGAAGCAAGCATTGCCCATCGCAGCCAAGCCGATTTCGGCCCTGCCACAGCCTCCATAAGCGCATTGCTTCTACGATCCTTAAACAATGCTCAAGCCGTCTTTTGGCCTACGAGCCTACGAGCCTATGAGCTTCGGGCAAATATGGCAAGAGTCATGGCCACACGTACACTGGGCGTGCAGTGGCTTGCAGCATCTTGCAATCGCATGCAAATCGCTCATCCGTCAAAGCCTGAACGGCTCTGCGCTGTCTTAGCCCCCAATATTCCCCAGCCACGGTCTGACGACGAGCCCGCGGCCCTGAATTTCGCGTGTCGAACTTTCGCAACTCGCGAGTTCTTGCGAGTGTCTGTGGGATCTCAGTCACTTCGCAGCACACCTCCGCACACTCGCCCTTCCAACACAGGAGACATGCCGCATGAGTGATGGCTTTACGAGCACATTGTGCACGACCACCTCGTTTGTATCAAGCCGGCATAGACCAGCAGCACATACCATAAATTATGAATACAGGATCGATCTAATAGTTTACTGCATATAGTCAGACATATATATATATGTATGTATGTATGCATGTCTGTATGTATGTATACATGCAAGGTTTATAGTTTATTGAACAAAACAAGACATGCAGGTGTTTGTACCTTTCCTGCAGGCCCAAACTCCAATTGAACAAACACGCAAAAACAAAACCAACCGGGCACGGGCCTGTGTTGGTTTGGTTGGTTCGTTTTGGGCTTCCTGGGTGTGGGGTCTTCTGAAGAACATGTGTGCAATTTGTTGTGCTTTGTGCTAGGCACCTTTCCCTCTTTCGAGCAAGTAAAACGAAACCAACATTTAACATCCCCACCCTGCAAGCAAGGAACTTGCGAGCTCACTCCGGGGTTGGGCACTCCAGGGAGTCTCTGGGGAAAATCTGGGGTTGGGCACTCTCGACTGTCGGGGATACTCTGGGGTTGGGCACTCCAGGGACTCTCTGACGACACCGTGGGGTTGGGCACTCTCGGGGACTCTTGCAATACTCTGGGGTTGCCTCTCCAGGGACTCTCCGGGGATACTCTGGGGTGAGATATGAACGACGGGCGAGGAGTAGACCGGGCGAGGAGAAGAGCCTAGTCTAGTGTTGTATCTAACAACCCCACACCGAGGGTGAGGAAATTACCAAAAAAAACAAAACAACACGAGTTTTCCGGGCACTACTCCGAGTCCAGAGAACTGTCTTCCATGCTTGTTGTTTTTGTTTGTTGGGGAGTGGTGTCTTCTGAGGCAAAAAACACCCGATGCTGTCAAGTTTCTCAAAAGAGGGTTTCTGAGGGAAATAAGGTTTGGCGTGTGCCAAACCAAAGACTTCGGCATTGAAAAAGTTTACATATTGATTTGGTTGGGTTTGCAGGTTCACCGTTTTTGCCTCCTGACACATGTTCCTGAAAAAGTAAGCTGTTTTAAGAACCCCAGAGTAAGTAAGCACAATAAAACAACAAAAAGGCTTCATAAACTACCACACAACACGAGAGCTGCTCACATGCTTTCAACAGCGTGCTCCAGCTCAAGGGATCGATGGGAATCGGAACGGATTCGACGGCGGACAGCACCCATCATCCCGCAATTCAACTCGGAGGTGCAGGGTTCTTGTACTGGGTCCCATGGTGTTCTTAGAATTGGCAACGTACTGTGGTGTGAAGTGCTACAGTGCTGATGATGCGGACTTGAAACGCTGGATCTTACCACGATGCATGATCGAATTTCCGTATATGTAGCTCTCTGAGTGCTCATTTGCACCACCGGCTACCAAGCTGCCGCAGAAAAAGCCCCCTCAGTTTAGCGAAACGTCTGCCCTAAACCTTTAGACAGACAAAACAGCCCCCCACGCAGCTTGAAACATCCCACTTGGGCCTTATCACCCAGGTTGGGAAACTCGGTGTTCCTTTAAGGCTTTAGGGGTTTAGGGTTTGGGGTTGTGTTAAGGGGTTTAGGGTTTAGGGGGTTTTAAGGGTTTAGGGGTTTGTTCAGGGGTTGGGGTTGAGGACGAGCGAGGGAATTAACTTTTGGGAGCTGCGAAACCATGTTTTTCGGCCTTTAAAACGTCAGTGTTCTTTGCTTGCAACGTTACAAAGTTGCAGTTCCACAATGTTTGCTGAACAAAACCAGCTTTTGCAACATTACTTATCCATGATTGAGGCTCTGCCCAAAGGAAATCCAAAACTATGGGCTGCGGTCTCAACACGACAATGCTCTGGTTTGGTTTTTGCTTTCAATCTTACAGTGTTGAACGTCCGCGTAGTTTCTGAAAAAGCAGTTTTTGGAACACTACTTATCCACCTGCCCAGCGTCCCAGATAGCATTTTCTTGTGTTGCGCACAGACCTGGACACTGCAACGTTCCAAAGAAACACAGCATGTCTTGCGCTCACACATATATATAGAGATTCTTGTATAATTCAAGAAAAATATCATATAGCATGGCCAGCAAAACATTTCTGAGCCTGGCCTTTGCGTTCTCCAGATTTCGGGTCTCCGCCCTAAGGAACTTTGGCGAGTTTTGTTTGACGTTTCGAAGCCTGTCCTTTTTGAATTCTTAACCCGACCATGGAGAATCCTGGTGAAAAGTCTCTGAGCCTGACCTTTGCATTATTTTTGCAGACTTTGGGTTTCCGCCCAGCCGAAACCGTCACAATCTTGATTAATGCCTCGAAGCCTGTCCTTTGTGATTTTTTCACATAGACCATGGATCTCCATCCTAGCGAAAAGCCTCCGAGCCTGACCGTTGCGGGTCTCCGCCCAAGGGAAACTCTCGCATTTGTTTCTAACGCCTCGAAGCCCATCCTTTCTGATGTGTTTGCATCGACTATGGATGTCCGCCTGGTGAAAGGCCTTTCGTTTTTGTTGCCCTTTTGTTTCTACCCCGCCCGTGTTTTCCTCTCTCTCTCTCTCTCTCCCTCTCTTTCTTCCTCTCCCTCTCCCTCTCCCCCCCGGCGGGCCCCCAAACGCATACCCTCAGCAGCCCGCCGCAGGCACCGATCTTTACTGATTCAGGAGAAGCCCGCCGCAGGCGGCATATTTTGCTCATTGACTCAAAAGACTTCAAAGAGCCCGCCGCAGGCGCTAGTTTTTGTGTACTTGATGAACTGAACAGGAGAGCTCAAGCAGCCCGCCGCAGGCGCCCTTTTTTTTGTGAATTCACTGAGTCCGCAGTAGACCCTATACCTATACTCTACTGTCTCAAGAACAGTTCGCTCAAAAATTAATTTCTATTTTCAATTCTTAATTCCCGCTTCAAAACCTCAATTCCCGTTTCAAAACCTTATTTCCCCGTTCAAAGCCTTATTTCCCCGTTCGAAACCTTATTTCCCCGTTCAAAACCTTGTTTCCCCGTTCAAAACCTTATTTCCCCGTTCAAAACCTTATTTCCCCGTTCAAAACCTTATTTCCCCGTTCAAAACCTTATTTCCCCGTTCGAAACCTTATTTCCCCGTTCAAAACCTTATTTCCCCGTTCGAAACCTTATTCCCCGTTCAAAACCTTATTTCCCCGTTCAAAACCTTATTCCCCCGTTCAAAACCTTATTTCCCCGTTCAGAACCTTATTTCCCCGTTCAAAACCTTATTTCCCGGAGCTGGGGGAATTAAGGTTTTTTAGGCGGTTTTGGTTGCAAGTTTTGGCTCCAGATCCAAGATTTTTCAGGATTTGGAGCGCCTCGATCTCAGAAATACATGTTTCTTTTGAAAACACATGCTCCAAATCCTGAAAAATCTTGGATCTGGAGCCAAAACTTGCAACCGAAACCGCCTAAAAAACCTTAATTCCCCCAGCTCCGGGAAATAAGGTTTTGAAAGGGGAAATAAGGTTCTGAACGGGGAAATAATGTTTTGAACGGGGAAATAAGGTTTTGAACGGGGAAATAAGGTTTCGAACGGGGAAATAAGGTTTTGAACGGGGAAATAAGGTTTTGAACGGGGAAATAAGGTTTTGAACGGGCAAATAAGGTTTTGAACGGGGAAATAAGGTTTTGAACGGGGAAATACGGTTTTGAACGGGGAAATAAGGTTTTGAAACGGGAATTGAGGTTTTGAAGCGGGAATTAAGAATTGAAAACAGAAATTAATTTTTGAGCGAACTGTTCTTGAGACAGTAGAGTATAGGTATAGGGTCTACTGCGGACTCAGTGAATTCACAAAAAAAAAAGGGCGCCTGCGGCGGGCTGCTTGAGCTCTCCTGTTCAGTTAATCAAGTACACAAAAACTAGCGCCTGCGGCGGGCTCTTTGAAGTCTTTTGAGTCAACGAGCAAAAAATGCCGCCTGCGGCGGGCTGCTTGGGTTCTCCTGAACCTCTTAGGCAGATGCGCCAAAAAAATCGGCGCCTGCGGCGGAAGGGGCGTTTGAATTGTTCTGGATGAATTGTAGTCATTGCTGAAAATCAAGAGCTTGGCGTGTTCTTTCTGAGTACGTTCATCAGATTGCATTTAGAAACTCGGCACCGCGGCGGGCTGCTCCAGAGCATACTTAACAGTGTATGCAAAAACAAATGATCCCGCTGCGTAGCGTGTGTGGATGGGTTTGAAGAACAACGAGTAACCGCCAAGAAAGAAAAAAAGCTGCACGCCGTTGTGTAATAATCTCTAAAGTGCTTGTCAACACTTGCTAAGATGTATGATAACATGTGTCTTGCAACAAAGGCAGTAATTAGCCCACATAGGGAACTTTGTCATTGGCCATTGAAAAACCGCCGCGGCACACTGTCCCAATCGTTGTGAAGTGCTATATAATGTTTATTGCGAGGGTCTGGTGAAAAAAAATGTGTATATATACGTATAATATATAAGTGAGTGGAGTTGTATGGGATAAGGTTGACCCAAGAGCTTGTGGCAAAGCTTGCACTGACCTGCGTTCCCCCTACTCCTGAATGCGCAAAACGGGAAAAAGGGACAGAGCGGGTCACGCCGGTCGCGCTGGCGAGGATGAGCGTTTTCTGAGAATCGATGCGCCCAGATGTGACACAGAATAAATACCATATACAAATATACATATATATATGTACATTATGTATTCTGTATTATGTATTATGTATTTTCATATGTATTTGTATATTGCTTATATACTTATATGTTTCTTTATTTTTTACTGCATGCTGTATTTGTATTCGCCTTTGCATATTTATTTTTACGTTATATTTACGCATGTAATCTCTTATGCACCAGTAGCAGCGGCGCAGACGGCGAAGTAGTAGAACATCAGCATCAGTAGCAGGAAGTTTTGCGCAAGGCTGTGGTGCAAAGCGAGGCGTTTCTCAATGTTTCGGAGATTTCTCTAATATGTTCGGGGGATGCTGGATGTTTGCTTGCCCCCTGATGCCCAATGTTACCAATACTAACAACTTTTGCTGCTCACCTGCCCCCCCCCCCCTTTGTTCGTTCCACTTCAACTCTCAGATTTCGAGATCGGAGCAACAAGCCTGAGACAGCTGACATCATGTCTCACTCAGAACGTCTATCCCCGCCCCTTTCACCTGTTGCCCTTGCAATCATTTCCTTGGGGACCCTTTAGCAGAACGGCTCATTTTTAAACAATGAGCTCCGTTGGAACGGACACCATGTAGCGCCTTGCAGTCGTTTCTGGGGTATGGAAATGTCAGAGGGGGTCTCGCCCCTGGCTCTCGCAAGCATTCTGTGGCACAGTAGTGGTCTGCCGTAATCTGCAGACATCACACCAATCACCAATTTCAGAGCCCGAGACCCTGAGCAAAAACTATTTTCGCGCAAGAAGCACACGATCACTGAGCACACCATCGGCAAGTGATGGATTAACACCTTGTTTCTCTAAGACTCCAAGACCAAGACCCAACCCCCCCCCCCCCCCGCCTAACAGCTTGTCAACTGCAATGCTGGGTTTTTTCTAGAACCTACAGAATTGAAAGCAAAACATACTTTGGCGCAAGAAGCACGCGATCACTAGGCACACCAGCGACAAGTGATGTATTAACACCTTGTTTCTCTAAGACTCCAAGACTCCAATACTAAGACCCACCCTCCCCGCAACAACTTTTTCGTTGCAAGAATCAATCTGTCAACTGCAATGCTGGTAGGTTTTTTCTAGAACTTATAGAAATGCTTTTCAATACCTGTTGGGCACATCAAATCCTTATTTCCCCAAGTTCGCCTTAACGGCCCCTTTTGAGAAACTTGGCACCCGATGCGAACACGACAGCGTTCTTGTGGGAGGCGGTCCTGAAGTGGAGTACGCACATAAAAAGCAAATAAGTAAATAAATAAATATATATATATATATATATTCTACTATACTTAAGTGTGCTGTGCTAAACTATTTACACTGTGTTTGTACTGTGCCTCTGATCGCTAGGAATTGCTGTGGCGGCAAACGGCAATTCAATGCCTTCTTTGGCCATTGCTCGGCAGCCGCCCGCCTGACACTTCCATCTGTTGCCGAAACGACTTAGCTGCTTGGTCCAGGCAACACAGAGCGACCCTTAAACCCTAAACAATAAACTGCTAGCAAAATATCATATAAGCAGCGCAAGCCCTGGGATGAATCCGAGAACAAGCACGCGCACACCGGGATCCGAACTGGAGGCAGCAGAGTCGTCGGTTGTCGAAGCTGAACCAGCGTTCCTGATCGAGGCGTTTTGGGGACTCCGCTGTGATGGCACATCCTCTATGGCCATCTGGGGTTTCCGAACACAGGGGTGCCCTTAAGTTTTGGGGGGTTCCAAGAATCAGGATTGAGAGTATTTTGGGGGGGGGGGGGGGGGGTACAAGGGTTACCCCCTATGTTGGGAAATGCCCAATCTTGCGCCTCATGGCTGTAGAGCTCCAAGCCCTCTTCGCTGAGCTTTGGTGCGCCATTGCTGTCCCGTAGCTTGCATCGCCACCTGTCGCAAGTAATATGGGGGCCTGAATAATTAGAATAGAGTTTTGGGGGGGGTTATTACAGCATATATAATCACAAAGGGACCATAAGCGAATACTAGTAGTACTCATTCCGGACTGTGTGTAGCACTGTGTGGCAAAGCTATCAGAGCTATTCACGCTCCGCCTTGTAACCTCGATCCGAGGGAATGGTGGCGCCAGTAAGAATTGCTCCGCCTGTCCAGTCACAGGCCTGACCTGCAAAATGAGAATGGAAAGCTTGAGAGGTTCTTTTTTTGGGCAAAGCAGAAGAAAAGCACTTTGTGCAGTGTCGTCCGTGGACGATGAACTGTGCAGTGTCTCGCCTGGATCTCATCCAGTGCAAGCTGCAAGGAACGACCGTCTTGAAACTCTGGCCTTGCAGAGCAAGCAGGATTGCAACTTGTGTCAGTTCCATCTTAGCTGAAGCGCTGCAGACCTGGCCTTATCCGCGTCTGAGAGAAGTGGATATCAAATGGTGACAAGGTCAGAACATTGGTTCCGGTGGCCTGCTTGGCTGCATGCACAAACGGTGGCGTGACAGCGCATGCAAGCTGCAAGTTAGCAATTCAATCTTCGCGCGGTCTCCCTAGCAGCATCAGCAGCATCATTCAGTTCTTTGTTTTCTTTTGGGCGGGGGCTGTGGCTACTTGCCTGTCACCTGGAATCTTTCCAAACTCCGTGCATCTTCAACCTCTCGTTTTACAAACACTCCAAACATCAAGCTCCGACGAGAGGGCTGAGGGTGAACTCTTCAGAGGTTCCCAAGAATCTTCAGTATTGCAGACAGGATTTGTAAAGGGATCTGAAGAAACATGAAGAGCGAATGAAACATGCCACAGCTTTATGAAGGCTCATATACAGATCCAAAAGCCCGACGAGAGGTTGACAAGAGCATGTCGCACAAATGATAGGCATTGATAGGCTGTGGAGGCCACGTGCAATCATAGTTACTTAGCGGGAGAACACATTCAGGACATGGTGGGCTTCTGCACGTTTTATGATTATGCAAGGTTTTCGTATGGGGACTCGCAGTTGATGATAGCGTTTACACATCATGATCGGGTTTTGGCTGGCAGGCGTCTGCATGTACAAGACACGTCACTTTGAAGATTCTCCATATGAGGTTGTATTCCTAGACCATGCCATGGAGGGGGCGAGGGGCGGTGCCTGATCCTTTGCTTGTGGATATATAGTAGACACATGCTCACTAATATTCCTAAGCGGCCATGTGTACACTCACCAAGAGCAGTATAGGGGCTTCCTGAACTCACTAGATGTCATCGACTGCATGCCAACATGCCAGGAACCACTACCTGAACCCTCAAACAGCATGCTCGGACCACCGTGGCCTCGTCCATAGCAGAGGAGCTGGCGTTCGTTCGCCCTGACAGGACGTCTCCACATTCTTCCTTGGCGTCGTACACCTTTTCAGCCTTTTATCCTGGTCATGAAAAACATGCGAAAGCCCTGAGGCGATGCAAGCAATCGAGTACGTTGAATAACCCTCTTAGTCCGTTTAGGGTTTAGGGTCAGAGGCCTTAGGGTTTGGGTCGGAGGCCTTCGCATGCCGCCACCGTCCGGCCCGCGCTTTCAGTCTGCGGCCCGGTTTTCAAATGCCGGGGCTTTGAACCACCTCAATCTAAGAATAAACTCAACATACCCCACCATACCCCTTAACATAAGGAGGGTTTTGCCATTTTCTCCTAAGGGGTATGCCAAAGGGGTATGTTGAATATTAATTTCTTAGACTCAAAGATCTGGATGCTGAGGGCTAAGGATGGTGTAGGGCTCAGCGGTGCGGATGCGTGGATGCCACCCTAAAAGGCAGTGCTGTGGCTGCTAGAAGTGCCAGGGTTTACACACCTGATTACTAGAAGCGCCACGTCTTGCCAAAAGACGAGCTAATGAACCCGTTTTTTTCGGGTCTGCTCAAAACCGCCTGCTTCGAGCCGAGCGGCTTCAGATATTCTGCACAGTCGACCTCTCTTGTGAACCACGAGGTACGGGGATCCTATGGGCACACGGTCTGCGACTCGCAGGGGTTCGGCTTGAGGGCTCAAGGCTCAGGCTGAAGGATTTCGGGTTCAGGGTTTAGGGCTTTAGGCTTCGGGTTTATGGTTTATAGGGTTTAGACAGGCATGCCGGTTTAGGGTTTAGGGCTGTAGGGGGTTTTGGGCTTCAGGGGGTTTAGGGGGCTTAGGGAAGCGACCACGTGCACGTATGAGCCGCGAACCACATGCTCATATGAGGTCCTGCCCGCGAAGGAAGCGTGGGATTCTTCCCCCGCCAAGCGTGACTTCTTGCGTGAACATGCGAAAACTCGGCTTCCGAAGAGTAGCAACAACCCCTCAGCAGAGAGCAATCTCACTTTTGCTCCTTGAAAGGCGATCTGGGGCAGATGCACAAACCACTTTGTGGTCTGTCTGTCCTGGTGCCAAATCTGCGTACGCTATCCGAAGTCTTGAGAAACAGAGTTGAACTGTGCCCGAAGCATGGATTGGAGAATGGTTCAACTATCTTGGGTAGAATCTGTTAAGCCCCATGCGGTAGACCTCCTACCATTCTACACGTGTGTTAAAGCAAAAGGGGAACTGCTACCACGCAGTGCCGCAGCCGTTGCCGTGGCCGCCTTTCACGGGACTCCCTCCAATTTCTCCCCGCAAGAGTCTGCGCAACCGATTGTGCGTGTGATTTCCTCTGCGTGAAACGCCACAAGCACAGAGTCACACTTGAAGACTCGAAGACTCAAAACCATTTCTGAACCCGCAACCTCTGAACCCAAACCCAGCCTGAAGACTTGGGATGTTCCGCTTTATACAAACAGTCCTGAATATGGAATTATCATACCCCCCACTATAATCCCCATCAAGGACTGCTAGTAGAAGGGGGAACATCCCAACTGAAGACCCAGGAAGAAAAGTAAACGCCCCCAAAAACGCATCCCAGTATCGCCCGCCTGGAGAGTGTTCTAGGAACCTAGGGCGAAGGCGTTGGCAGTCAGTGCTCCGCCCACGGAGCCCAGCGCCAAGCCTCGGGTCTGTATGGGTTCAGGCTTTGGGGTTCAAGGTCCATTCAAGGGGGGGGGGGGGGGGGGTTTGGGTTTGGGTTTATAGGGTTTATAGGGTTTATAGGGTTTATAGGGTTTATAGGGTTTATAGGGTTTATAGGGTTTACAGGGTTTATAGGGCTTAGAGGGCTTGTGGGGTTTAAAGGGTTTGGGGCAAGTTTAGGGTTTACTTTAGTGTTTAGGGGTTTTTTTCGTGCTCAGGAAGTTTAGAACTTGGGGATCTACAGTATTGAGCACTGGTTCTGGGCTGACTTTGCCTTGAGGCGTGCCGGAGGGTGCCAAATATCTTTCGGGGCCGTGCTCATATTACCCCTTCCAGCGGCAGGCGCTCGCTTAGGTGTGTCCTTGCGAAACACCGAAAGCGCAGCAGGCAAAACTGCTACTGACTTCAGAAATCGTCCTCTGACCCCTAGGGCAGCTGTGCCACATTGCGAAGTTTAATCCCAAGTTGCTCTTCGAAACAGTCGGTAAAACTTGTGGGACAAACACACTTCAAACGTTTGGAGTTGTGCTGCGGCCCCGGCCGCTATTCACGAAACAAGCCTGGCAATCGCGTAGTCTAACTCTCGGTGGCTCCCACAATGTCCGGAACGCATGCTTTGCGTGCTTGCAGTACTGCAACCCTCCTCTCTCCAAACAGGGCAGGCACGGAAATGCGTCCACACGTCTTGCGCTGCTCCGGGCTGAGAGTCGGGATCTCGTTGATGACGATCAAGCACAGTGATGCCTCGACATTGTCAGAAAACTCACCGTTCATGGTATGTCCAAGCTGTGTACTCGCTGTGTATCCCTGTGTGCCAGACACAGTAGCCATTGAGGAACCCGAAGGTGGCCACGACAGCCATTGCGAGCAGGTCGCTAGATGAGTCCTTGACACCGACTTAGCAAGTGATAGCAAGTGCACCGACTATGACTATGGCACCATCCCAAGCTACCGACTGAGATGGCGCAGAAGATCATCAATGGCAGGAGAGCCGACCGCAAGACCGCCGTCCACTGCAAAGGCCGCAGGGGGTCTACTGAGTCTGTCAAATTTCCTGAAAATAAGTAAGCTATAAACTGCTTAAACCAGAAGTGCACAAAGGCATGTCTACTCTCGGTCAATTCGATGTACACTCTTGTGACTTCAACGCCGGCTGAAGGCGGCCAGCAAGAGCTGTGCCCACCAAGGTACGCAACAGCACCAACCGGAGCAGTAAGACAACGTGTTCGACAAGGCACGGCATATTTGGACTATGGTACGGTGGCACACGCTCCAATGGCTGCAGTCTACCTGCCTGGATGTTCCCATGGTGAAGGCCACACCGGATGTGCGTCACAAAGCGTGCGCAAATGTCAAAGATCGTGAAGACCTCAACTTGCGGTGGCACAAACCCTTGAAACATCTCAAAGCCCTACTCTCGTCAAACCAAAGAAGCCCTGTAAACCCATAAGGCCGTACATCTTTGCAAGCCAAAAAAAGCGGGAATGAAACGGGTAACCGTACCCGAACTACACTGCCAATGTTTAGGCAGAGAAGCCGTTAAAAGGATGGTCTGAAACCAGTGCCCGCTCTTCAGCCAAAGCATCTGCCTGCCCGGCATGACATCTGGTTCAGGGTTTGTGTCAGGCAGGTTTCTGCTATCACAATATGTAATGGCATGTACTGGCATGTAATGGCATTAGTGCCCCCTTGGTATTGCCCCAAATTAAGACTGTTGTATGCCAGAACATCCTAAGAATATCGGGGTTTCCGAAATTCGGGGTACCTTGTTGGGTTTTTTTTGCAAAGGAACGGGGTCTACATTCAGGGTCTCTTGTTTTCGTAAACCTCCATATGGTTTAGGGCCTTGACCTTATGGGGGGTCGGGCCTGCATGGGATCGCCGTTATGAGACCAGGATAGCAGAAGGTGGTCAAGGTGAAGTTCGCAAGGATGACCTGGAGAATAGTCGCGAAGATTCATGAAGATGTTTGCCTCGACTGAAACAGACCACTGATATCACATGCGGGTTGCCAGCTGGTTCCGCCAGACCAGCTGTATCACGGATTTGAAGCTTGAGCCAGCCTGGGCAGAGGCGACAGAACTTAGCGCGAGCGCCTCTTAAAGCCCAGCAGAGGCCACACAACACCAGTGCGCTGAGACCCCCACTTCACAGTTGAGATCCAACTGTGGAGACTCCTGGAATCGTGAGCCGTCAGATGCTTTCCTTGATTCCTGATGTGGCTACTCCCTTGACGTTTCATGAACTGTTGTGGATGCAGTGGAGCCTGAGAGTCTCGACAACCTCCCGGGCTGAATCCTGACAGCAAGTGCTACATGTCACACATGTTACAGTATCCTGAGCCTTAACAAGTGGGTTTAGGGTTTAGCGTCTGGGGTTTAGGGTTCAGTGAACCGGGTTCGGGGGGTATCTTCACGGTGCTTTGGTGAACGCCATGACCAAGAGCCGCACCGCAGGCGTAAGGAAGCGGGGACTCGATGCTGCTGTTGTCCAGCAGCTTCTCGTCAAGCTGGCCCTCTGCGAAGTTTTGTAGCACTGAAACCCATGAAACTTTGAAACCAAGATGAAACCATGTTGACTCCATCTACAGCTCCGAAAAGCTTCCGCCCCGCGGCTAAGCTACCAGCACTTGATGCACGGACATGCCGTGAGATGGGCAAGGACATGAGCAACCTGCAAGATGCAACAAACCACTGCCGCAGATGGTGTAAAATCACGTAGGTGCCCAAGCTGGGTTGACATGTCATGAGACCACCATAGATTCCAGCTTCAACTTACACATGGCCTGTAGCATACCAAGCAGAGTATGACAGTAACCAAGGCAATGGAAAAGTAAGCACCTGAGGCTTGTGCCACATGCGCATGCCAGGTGTGTCAAACTCAGTTAACATGAAATTCAAGGGTGCCGGACATGTGGCATCTGCGATGTCGTTGGACATCAGCAGCTTTGTTGCATCCCTGTAGATTACGGAGACCAAGGTGCCAAAGCCGATACCTGGTCTGCAGCCAGCCTCCTTTGCGTGCCTCTCTCTTGATCATTTGCCCCCTGCCTATCTGAAGGTACTGCTGCATGTTCGAAGAATACCTCAGCAGACGGATGGATGGATGCCATATGATGGGCTATGACAGGCTGCTTGTGAGAGCTTCAGGCTCCGGCTGCGAGCAGAGAGACAGCAAAGCAGAATCCAGGTAGCCCGTGGCGACGGAGCCTCAGATTCGCAGCATCAAGCACATCAGGTGCCACATTGCCGCGTCCGAGAATGCCCGAGCTTCCCACAAACAAGCACCAGGCCCAGCAAGAGCTGATAAAGCCTGGCGAGGAAGCAAACGGTGCACAAAGGACTACGCAAACCTGACAGACCCCTAAAAGCCGTAGGGCCATAGGGCTCCCCAAAGCATGTCGCGGGAGACACTGTAGGTGCCAGTTGAAGCCACCTGCGGACAAGTTCCCTCCTGTCACACCTACTTGTAATAGCCGAAACCCCTTTCAACTTGAAACCTCAGAAAGCCCAGAAACCCTCAAACGTAAACCCCAAACCTCAAATCCTTAAATCCAGCTTAAACCCTAAAACCCCAAACCCACCCCCAAACCCTACTTAAGCCCTCCTTAAACCCGACTTGAGCCCTTTAAGGCCTGAAGCTCAGGATCGCTGCCAAGCACAGGAACTGGCCCAGAAAGCCTCCGACGATGCGCCGTCGCAGCCTGGGCATACGGGTCCTGGGGTTTAGGGTTGTTTAGGGTTGTTTAGGGTTGTTTAGGGTTGTTTAGGCTTGTTTAGGGTTTTTTAGGGTTGTTTAGGGTTGTTTAGGGTTGTTTAGGGTTGCTGAGGGTTGTTTAGGGTTGTTTAGGGTTCGTGTTCGAAGGGGGCGTGCTCGTGCAGCACGTAGTTCCTTGTTTGAGGGGCTCAGAGTCGCCTCAAGGGCTTACGGGGCTGCTTCCTCAACCAAGAACCCCCCCCCTGCCCCCCGTATGTGGGTTTCCTAAAAAAGGGGTGCCCCTTTGATACCATAAGAATAGTGCAAACGTCATTGTAGGATCCCCCAAAGTAGCCACCTTAGAATATTGGGAACATTTGGGACATGTCCCACATGAACTTTTGTTGCGCAGAGCCAGCGAGTGCACAGAAGAGACACGACTCGCGTGTAGCATCTTGTGTCGCTGATCGCTATTCGGCGTTTTAGTTCCTCGATTCTTTGAAAAGATCGATTTCTTGACAAGCCACAAAGCAAAAGAGAACGGCGTGAGGTTGACCAAGAAACTGCTATGAGATTGCCTATGATTGCCTGGTTTGGAGCCAACAGCTTTGCAATATCGGCTCTTGCCTCACTTGTATTACTCCATGACATGCGCATGGGTAGTTCTCCAAACTAGGGTTTTTTTGGGGGGCCTACAAGAGTGCCGCATTCTTCAGGGACCCAAAAAAAGTGCCATAATTTGAAGGAACTACCCACATATCTGTCGACTTGACCCTCGAGTTCGAGCGCTAAGGCATCTGGTTGATGGACATGCCAGGGCGCTGGCGAGAAGGTCTCGGTCAGTGACAGACATGCCACAGTGCCAACAGAACCAATCTGTCCGGATGAGCGCCATCGCTCCATCAATGGCGCCCCGAAACTCTGAGCAGTCCATGAATGCCATAGCCTGATACACGACAGTCACAATGAACTCGATGTTGCTGTCTGGGAACAGGACCTGGCTAACAAAGCAGGCATCAGCTTTTGACAAAGCATGTTGCATCAAGATCTGGCTCAAGGACCTTCCAGTAGTCGAAAGCTGCCCAAATCGCTGAGATGGGAAACAAATATCCGATGCCAATCGCCAGCATGCAGATTTTCCTAAGCGTCAAAGTGCATAATTCAAGGCATCACCCAGCCCACGCGAAAACTTGACGCTGCAGCGACCGAGTAACATCGGGAGTGGTGAGTGGGGTGTATCAGATGCCCTTGTCAACCCGAATAGCCTTGCCCGACACATGGTGCTGACAGCACCGAGCTCTCTCCTAGACTGTCCTGAACTGAATACTCCACCACACACTATTCCGGGTTTAGGGTTTAGGGTTTAGGGTTCCGCAACACTGGAAGTCCGCCCCTACACCCAGGGATCCGGCGCCGTGCCCTCTCCCCGGTGATCGCCCAGAAGGACGGCCATGGCTGCAACGGCTCGGATGACCAGAGTCAAGAGAACGGACCTAAACCCTAAACCCTAAACCCTATAAACCCCAAACCTTAAACCCTGAGTTTGGGGCTGTACTGTGTCCGCATGTGTCGGTTCTGGCTGGTGACCAACGGCACTAATCATCAACCTCGCAGCCGGAGGGTTCTGAGTCGTGTTCGTCTACATGCTGAATCACATTGCACCCATCGCATTGCTGCAACGACAATCGGACACATGTAGCGTTGAGCACGGGTGTAGCCGCAGTCCATATTCATTCTATCATGGCAGGCGTTACGGGTATTTCAAGAAGATAGACATTCGCGGAGTCGATGATGACTTGAAGAAGACAGTGCGAGTTGAATATGGAAGAAACCTCAAGTCAAGTGTGACTCTCGTTTAGTAGTTAAGCCACATTCAACCTTGATCTTACCATTGGCTAATTATCTAGAGACTGAAATGATGCAGGTTCTCATGTCATCCCTTAGCCTCTTGAGTCCGGGAGGCTCATTGCTCCTCATTTCGCCTGCAGCGCGAAGGCTCACGACATCTCATGGCCAAAAGGGGCAGGTATAACCAGCAAGACCAGGATCCACTCGGAATCCCTGCTTGCTCAGCTGCCTTGAAGCTCAGAACATGAACGGATGATCTTCACAGTCCAGCTGCTGGCGAGTGAGAGAACACCATCTATGGCACGAGGCGCATGGCACGGCAACGTGCGTGTCATCACAGCGTAGCCGCATGGGCCGCAGAGGGGAGCAAGCGAGTGCTGCATCGCAGTTGCAGCCCTGCACTTGCTGCGTGATCATGATGTGAGCTGAAGGTTCATCCGGCATCCTATCATGCTGTCCTGATATATCTTCCGGTGTCCATGCGACACCTCAACAACATCCCATCGTAAATTTCATGCGGCGCCGAAGAAGGCTCGTCCTTAGTCGCAGATTAGGCGTGCCCGCCAGAACGGACGCTGCTGCAGCCAGCACCGGCCCAGGAAGGCCTATGAAGAAGTACATCTGGAAAGAGGGAAAACATGCATTTCGCGGCGAAGCCGCCAACTCGAAGCGAGCACTGCGAGAAGTCAAGGCACCATTGAGAGCTCAGAAAGTCTCGTCTGTCGCACGAGAGTCGCGGCGCCCACCACTGCAAGCACCGCAAAGTGCGAGACTAAACGGCTCTGTGAGAGCTCGTAGACTTCAGCGCACGACGGCCAGAGCCTGCTCCTGGGCACTGTGACACTCTATCGGAGAGCTCAACATCTTCGACCCTACAGGCCACAGCATGCAGCATGTGGGCCTTGCGCGACCCTAAGACCGGAGAAACTACGCCAGAGGCACACGCTAAAATGACGGATGCCGTCAGTGTCCTTGACCCGAAACCAGCAAAACACTTGAACTTAAAACCAAGACCGAGGCGAACCACCTAACCCAACACTGGGGGGCCGGTGCAACCACTCCTGTCAACTCGAGTCTGTGAAAAAGACGGCCTTCAAGAGCTGCTTAGCCTTTCACTCTGGGTGACCATTAGCCTCCTACAGGACGTGGACGAAACGGTTTGCCGTCTTGCAACTACGCACTTTGGAGACTCGGAGTCCTTGCAAGGTCAGCCGTAAAGGCAACCACCGGAGTGCCGTAGCAAGCCACCGTGCGGTGAAGCAGGCGCCAACCATCTGAGTCTGAGGGTTCGGCAGCCTTTGTCAATTCGCTGGTTCTCGTCGGCCGCAGGGACACGGGCCCGCAGGGCCCGGTCGATGCACAACGAGTCCTTGACGTACTCGGCAATCACTAGAGCAACCTCGCCGTCGTTTCATGCAGTCCAAGCAGGTGCTAGAATGAGAGGCCACGGCAGCGATGGCTGCTGCTTCTGCCCAAAAAAGCAAACACCACATGACTGGAATGAAGAGCCGATCCAACAACTTCAGTAACGCTTTTTGGACCTAGAACTTGCCAGCATTTGAAAGCGGGCCTTGTAGTAACTTCTCAGGTTGAGCTCAAGCGTCCCACTCCCTCTACGTGCCTTTTGGGTGAAATGGGTTGGGAGGGCTATGTTAAAAGTGAGAGGATGCGATATGCCCAGGGTCTGGAAAAATAGTCTCGGGCATTGAGCCGAAGAGCGGTGTGCACACTGCAACACCGGATGACGCAGGCAGGCATTTTCTGGGGTACGGCTGCGACACGACACGGCGACACGAAAGGGACCTTAGGAAGACCTTGCGTCGTCGTTGAACACGCATCGCTGCGCACGAACGGAGCTTTCGCTAGTTGCGCTCCTGGACTTGCGACATTGGGGCCATCATGTCGTGCACGGGTAGAAATTGGACAGGTAAAGAAATTTCCACATAAAGATCTGGCAGGTGTCCAGGACAGTCTCTGCAGGCACACTTGCCGCAAGGTCATAACTTAGCTGGAATGGGTGCTTTCCTACTGCTACAGGAGAGGGAGCAGCAGTCTAGAGAGTCTAAAGTTTTACGGAACGGTCGTATCTTAGGGCACCAGAGCCGCAGAAACCAACTGTGGAATCCTGATTTTTTTTAGTGGGATCCTTACGTGGGTTTGCGTTTTCCTTCAGCGTTCCCTTGGTTTTTGGCACCCACGTGAAGATCCTACAAAATTTTGTTCGCTTGTGTTTTAAATACATAAAGATCCTACGAGTTTTTTCCGCCCAGAATTCCCCTGCCTAGTGGTGATGCAATTAAGGCACGATATCCATGGAATCCCCACTGTGCAGTCGTGATGCCCCTAGATTGAGCCCGACACACTAACAAGAGATGCCCATGCTCGCATGTAGATGAGATAGTTTTTTTCTGGAGAGCCTTGATGATGGTGGGCGCAGATCCCCGGTGATAGGATCTTTATGTTTATGTGGCCTGTTGATCCCTAGAGGCAGTCATGGCTAGCGAAGGGCTGACCGGTCGGCCTGCAAAGGTTCTCCAAAAAGCTCTGCGTGCTTTCCGGAGCATCATGGAGTTGGCTGATTCGGCTAGGACGGCATGGCGACCTGACCATGAACAACGTCGGAAGCACCGTATGCTGCCCATGAGGCGAAGCCCGGTTCATAATCTCAGAGCAACTCCACTTCACGCCGGACACCCTCCCAGCTGCCAGTCCAGAGGCTTGCGCAGGGCTGGATGCTTTGGAGAAACACCTCGGCACAATGTCCTGCGCCTTGGCCCACCGCAGGTTCAATCTCGGGTTTGCAGTTTGAACAGTAGAAGGTGCAGCTCTGCAAATTCCGAAAGGCGGAAATCGGCGAAGACTGAAGGTCCCCACTGAGCCGACAAGCTGCACGGCCCCTTTTCAGCAAACCAATGGATTCAAATGGCGGTGCCTGCCTTGCGGTGCAGGCCAGAATTGGGTCAAACCAATCTCTGATGGCTGAGTCCTCCCAGCAGTGATCTAATAAATCGTTACGCTGGTCGTCACCACGAAGTGGCCAAAGAAGGAACCTCCAGGAGCTCTTGAAGCATATTTCCGTGATGAGGCATCTGTACGTATATCGATTGACCCTGAGTAGGCCTGCAACCCCTGTGCCTGTGTCAATGTATGGTTTGCGAAGCCCTGTTTGTTCGACAACCGCCGATACACGGTGAGGAGCAAGGGGACGTCTGTGGAGAAGCTTCGCTGAAAGGCGCGGCAGGACTCCCCTTGGCATCCAGCCCCACGAAGGTTCCACGACCTGCGTCCTAAGCGTCCTAGGGTTCTAGGGCCTGTAGAAGGTGCATCTGTGCAAACTCAGAAAAAGGAAACCCCCGGGACTGAAGAATCCTGCTGCGGACGACAGCGCAGCTGTGTTACTGATCCTCTACTTGCAACGAATGGATAGCAACATGCAGCAAGTCAGGTCATGAACAAAATGGACTTGATCTCATCTTGGCACGCTGGCGCTAAGCCTCGGCGGCTCCGTGAAGACGCGAAGCGACATGCAGAGGTCTGCTGCACACCGGCATCATCATAGAGGCACTGTGCGGACACATTATGCAAGCGCACTGCCAACGAGCGTCCGAGTACCGCAGGTGGCTGTCACGAGCATCTGCAAACAGGCTGTCACGGTGGAGAGCTGATGCTCACAGTGAACCTGGGCCCCACCCTCCCTTCTGACTGAAGCTGCCTTTGGCATTACAATTTCTCGTCCAGGTTCCGTTATGTAACTCAGGTGCCGTTATGTAAATCGCGTGAAAGAGCATCGGAGCTTGCTGTTTTCAGACATGCCGCATCGCAGGAACGATTTTGCCGCACTTGCGTTTGCATCAGCCCAGGGCAACAGCTGCGGGCACCCCACAAAATGCGTTCCTGGGAATTAGGCGGGAATTCCAAGGTGTCATTCATCGAAGCTGATCAAAGAGGCTGATCAAAAAAGCTAGGGTTGGAGGCTTTTGGCCTAGCGCAGTGCGCAGGATGCCAAGCGACAGTTTGGGACTGGAAACCGAGCTCAGTCATTAGAAGCAGCTCCAAACCAATCCTGTGGGTCTTCCCCGGGACGCTTTTGATGTCGGGATACGCCTGCAACTCGCCCATCTGCACTGCATGCCGGCTGTTATGTGAGCCAGGAGGTGCGAGGTCTCGATGTGCGGTTCAGCGACGCATGTCTTCATGGGCAGCTTGTGTCAAGGCATCAAGTATCTGGCAGGACAGCACGGACCAGGGACACTTCAAAGTCTTGACCATGCTGCGGAGAACTTCGGACATATGTACACCTTTTGCGGTGTATTTTCGCCGTATGTGACTGGAACAGTGGTGAGCCGTCAAGGCATTCATCACAAAGGGCTCCGAGTCCAGCTTGCACAGTTACATCACCCACCCTGGCCCTCTCTGTGGACCGCAGCTATGGCACTGACCCGAGAAAGGAGCCTATATTCAAACAAGACTAATCAGTGAAGCAAAACATCCCAATCGAGGTGGGCTTCGTTGCATGACCTGGAACGATCCATACTCAACAGGCTGGCAGGGTTTGCAGTTGCGCCTTTGCTCCACGTCCTGTGACGTACATGGTGGGATGTGTTC